CCACTGCGGGTCAAAAAGGGGACTGGGTTCCTCAACAAAATAACCCCCCCCTCTTGGTAGTTGGGAAGACGCAAGGAAGCCAACCATCTAAACGGGGGGCCAGTGTGAGTTGAGAAGCCAGAATCATATTCTCATGATCAGGGTTAGGCCCAGTTCTAGAATGTATACTTTATTGCTTGCTTCACCTTGAGTCACTGGTAAAACGTAAAATGTACCCCAAGTCCACCCCAGTTTTGAACACACCCAAATGTTTTGCGGCACGGCCCTTTTAAAGCAGCCACGTACGAACCAAAACCAGTGGATGTCAGTTACCCCTGTGCTAAACCAGCCTTCTCCGTTTGGCTTCTAATTCGTTCTTGTGGATGCCTACTATATGGCTCTGTCTCTTTTGGGCCCGAAAGTTGTGTTCTTTGGGTGTCCCTTTGGCCAGAAAGAGGCATACCCTCAAGAAAGGCAGTCACCTCCGATCCAGTGGCCAAAACAAGTCTAAACTTCTTTGCCACTGGTTCAACACCAAAAACGAGAAAAAACGGCTCCGAAACGGAACCCAGGCTCACGTGCCCAAAGGACCTGGACAGAAAAGCTTGTTGGGAACCTTGGCGAATGGACCAAATCAAGGAAACCAAGAGGTCATTTCAGGGATCCTTACATGAAAAACACCTGAACATTGCAACTTGTAAATGGCGGTTTCCAACTTTATTTTGGTGGAAAAAGCCATGTTTCAATTGGGCAAAATGTATCTTTTAAGGAGCCCCGTCATTTCAGGTCGACTCGCTTTGAGCAAGTGAGCAGGAAGTGAGCCTTGGCTTCCTTTTGGTTAAGCCCCTTGGAAAAAACATAAAACATCCAGTAGAAAAAAACAAACCAAACAAATCCCTAAGCAAATGGAACTTGGTACCTGCACCGGTGCTGGTTTTTGTGTTTGCTTCATGTTTATTCATTCAACATAGTACCCCGTCTTAAAACCAACAGGGGGAACATAAAGAATATTCATTTCAGCAACTGGAAAACTACTGGGTATTTGCCCTCCGTTGCTCTTCGTTTCCAATCTTTAAGCAAACGGACGTTTTCAGGAAACCCTTTGAAGACATACAAACAAACAAATACGCAAATGGAAGCCCGACTGAGCATCCCTGGGAAACAACGGGGGGCACAGCGAATGGACGTGGTTTTCTGGAGAGCCTCCGGGAAACCAACCGCCTTGGGTTTCTTTTCCGGGCGCATTGCCGGTGAGCTCGGGCCGGCCCCAAGCGCCGTCGCACAAATAGTCCGGCGTGCTGGACGCCTGGGGCTTCCAGCGGGACGAAGACCGGGGGGAGTTGGGGTAGGGGGTGGGGTTCGGGGGGCGTGGGGTTCGGGGGGCGTGGGGTTGGGGGGGGAGCTCCCGTGACTTTGAAACAGATTCTTCCCTGAAAAAGGGTGCCTGGAGTCTCCATGATTTAAACATGGGACCATGACCCCTGGATTTTGGGGTAATGACCCCGGTGGCTTCCGATTCACTTTCTACCAAAACTCGGCAGCTCCCCTTTGTGGTGGACTCTAACTCGGTGGACAAGCCCAACCCCGCCGTTCGGGAGGGTGCCAGTCGAAGAAAGCCACCACTCGAAAAGCAGCCCCTCAATCATCCTCACTTTGGACAACTGAGTTGAAGGAAGACACCCGTCCCCGAAAAAAAAAAACATAAAACAAAGCGGGCATGCATTTTTCCTGGAAGCTGGTGCTCCGTTGTGGATGCTACTGCCCGCGTGCGCATGGACAAACAAAAACTCACACACGCCAGCTGGTGCGAAGCGCATTTGGCGCATCCATTGTAGCAGCTTCAACATCACATGTTCAAGTTGAAACCAAAAAGCCAAAGTTGCTCCTACCCCCAAGCGAACCAAAGGTCCTGGCAGGTTGGATGGGGAAAGCCATTTTCCCAAAGCTCACTCGATGTCACACCCTTGAGGCCATAGAAAACACCCCTACGCGAAAACAAGTAAACCAGCACACCCTTTTCTTCGTCAACATTTGATCAACGTTCAATGCCAAACTAAGATGAATCATTTCTTGGCCAACGTCAAACAATCTTGCTTGGTGCTCAGTCTTCCAAACACTGGGTAAAACCCAGGCACCAGCTTTTCATGGGTGGTAATTGGCCTTGGCACCACTGGAGATTTGGGAACACGTTCACTCAGTTCCGCAGCATGGCAAGGACACATGTAATCTATGCAGAAATGGGTCATGTGAACCAACAAAAAGGACCCCGGGAACAAAACCAAAAAGGAACAACAATACTTGGTTGACGTTGAAGGGAAGCAACCATTCAGATTTTAGGAGTTAAGTGGGGATTTCCCACTAAACCACAATAAGCAAAAATGCAAAATGTGTCCCAACAACAACCATAAATAGGTCCACATGTTTGATTGGCAAGAAACCAACATGTGCAGAATGACGATCCAAGCAAAGGGGTGTTCGACCCAAAGCCGGATCTGAGGCTCATTTAATCGGAGCACAACTTTGCGCAACTTCCTTGGGACTACATGTTGAACCTATTTTAAGCCGAGTCATGGTGGGTCGTCGGGAGCACGGTCTGATCAATTCTGCTCAAATCGCACCCTCTTGGAATGCATGCTCCATCGAGGCTGTCTGGTCAAACGCCTGTAAAGGTCGATCACTTTTACGTTTCTGGGTGGAGAAACATACGCAACATACTTTACGGACTGAGGCGTGGAAGCTTGAAAGACGCCCTCTAGGAACAATACTGCATGCCAATGGTTGCCAAGGTCTGCCACATTCCAATCAAAGGAGATTCAAATAGATTCAATGAATCGACCCATGAGTATATATATATATATGTATATATATATATATATACTCGTTTTTTTTTTCCAGGCCTTCACCAAAGCGAGGCCAGATGTCGAGCCGGTAGGCCCAGACGAACTCAAGCAGTCGATCACCGGATACGTGCAAAAGAAGGATCTTGTAGTCGTAGTGGTGGTGCCAGCCGTCGTTGATGTCGTGGTTGTCGTGGTTGTCGCTTGCGCGATGGTGGTCGTGGTCGTCATCGTAGTGCCTGGGTTGGTCTTTGGTACCCTCCACAAGGTAGGTATTGAAGGCTAGTGGAAACTATCCATTTTCCAAAGGTTGAAGCCTCCTCCTTGCGCCGTATTTCACAAAGCGATCCCTTGAGGCAAAAAGACACATGAGGCCCAACGAGGCAAGGGCGCTTGCCGAAACTGAAGTCGCCGGCGGCCCATCCGCCCGCAGGGGATGAACCAGGCAAAGGAGCGAAGCCACACGGATGCACCGCATTGCCACGGGCCAGGGCGAAGCCCACCGCGGATGCTTGGGCTGTTGCCCCTCTACAAACCAATTTGTCTCAAGAATGGTATGCGTCATAGTAGAGTATGTAGAGTACAGTGTGTGAACTACTTGCCTCTGTTTCTCTGGTTGTTCCTTAAAACAAACTAACAGCACGACATCGAAGAATGACTATTGATTGCCCAGTGTTTCTGGTCATACGGCTGAATCACGAAGCATATTGTTGGCAGTTTTGTTTTACCGCGCAAAGCCCACCGGTCATCCCGGATCCCCCACCATTAAAACAATGGGGTTCATATAACCAGGGTATTTTAATTTGGTCAGCCATCGGTTTTTTGTGGGTTGAACCCTAGGGCAATGGGGCTGGGGGCTACGAAAACTGGGCCTTTCATTTCGGGGGGTGGGTCTGGGTCTGGGATGGTCTGCAGGGATTTCCCCCGGCGGAAAAGAGACCTAACGTGGGGGCTAAAAAGAGAAAGACAAGCCCATTCGTCGACGAAAAGGGACAACAGGGCTCCTGCCCAGTGGCCTGGGGGGAAAAAGGGCATCCTGTTCTTGGTTGGTTGAGTTTCAAGCGACCCCTTCCCAAAAGGAAAGGAAAAAGGCCGGCCGGGGCAACTGGGACCAACTGACTAAAATTACTTTAGAAAACGCCAAGAAGCCGGATGGCTGAGCTTGAACTAGCCCCCGCCTGTAGCCTTTGAGGCACCCTGAAAACGAGGAATTCCGGCAACTTGGTTGACGTTGGAAGGGGAACATAAATACATTTTAGCAGTTAAGTGGGGACTTCAACCACTAAGCCACAGTAAGCAAAAATGTACAATGTGTCCCAACAACAACCATGGCAAGTTGTGTAAACCATGGGGAAAATATGGCGTTTTCCAGTTCGCACTTCCTGAGTGGTCCAAGAGATGTCTGAACTTTGCATTTGTCATCATGGTCTTCCCAAAGGCTTAAAGTCCAGGAATTCAGCTAGGTCCTCCAGTAGAGAGATTACCGTTTCTTTTTTCTGTAGTCGATCTTAGTAGGGGAACCCTCCCAACCAAAAAAGGGGTTAAGAAGGGCACTACTGGGGGAGCTAGTCAGGAAGTGAGAATTTGGTCGTTTGAAAGAACTGCCCAAAACGACAAAGCAGGGGCACCACCGGAGTTCTGGGCATCATATTTGATTCACAAACCTAAAGTAAGGAATCCTCAACTATCATTTTGCCCTCGGAGCTACACAAATGTATATGATACAAGTTGTCCAGAAGGAGCCCTCCCAACAACTATCTCTTCTACTCGGGTTTGTGGGGCTCCATAAGCTGCCCACACCTGAGGCAACAAGGCTTCAAACAGCAGCCCTTGGTCATGGGAATCCAAGATATGTTTCACCCTCTAAGGGATCGATCTTCTAGTGAATATGCTAAATGACGCCTTAGCAGGGCGTGTTGAGAACCTGAACGAAAGGCTGTCACCTGACATGCTTCCGGCATGGGAATACATGGGGAGACCAAAGGCTAACTGCAAATGAACAACAACCAGGGGGAACAAGCCAAGACTTGCACAACAAAACAAAACGAACACGACCAGGGAAAGCAAGTCAGCATTTGCACCAAGGGACAAGTCAACAAAAAGTCACCACGTCAGCTTGGGCAAGGGGGATGCGAACCCTCTCTTCCACGCGCCGCACCGGCGCACCGCACGGAGCGCCGTTTTAGCCCACCTTCGCATTTCCAGCTGCAGCCTGGCTTCGGGAGCACCGGGCTTTGGAGAAGACAAGACCAAAAAAAACAAGAAAAGATAAGCTTCCACCTCCACACCACTAGGAGCTCCATGGAATAACCACTGTATAGCCACTATATGAAGGGTGTACACATTCTTTCCGGGTGGCTGGTGTGTGTGTGTGTGTGGAAAGTGTTTGGCCAACATGGCCAACATCAAATAGTCTCACACGTTTCTGAATGGATGCCTGTGAAGAAAACCTTCATCATGAGTGAGGTCGGAATGAATGCATGTCCTAACCGGTCTTTTGGGCGCTCACCTTCACACGTGCCATGCCTTTGCAGGTTCAATGGGGCAAATTAGTCACTCACCGAAACCAAAGGAAGCCTCAAGAAAGCAATCTTTACCGGTGACGGTGCCACCCCCAATTCGTGAGATCGCGAAACAAATGCTCAGATGGGTCATGCCCCAACGATCTTAGTGGATCCTACTTTGAGACACCACGCCGAAGGGCACTCTGAAGAACAACAAACAAACAATTACAGGAAGAACTGGACTTGGCCTTAGAGAGTTTCGAAGGGGCGGTCCAAGGGGGATTCCCTAAACCTCTCTAAGGAACCTTAAGGAACCATAGGGAACCCTAACCCTAGGGTTTTTTTTCAACTACGCCTCTTGTACCTACCTCCCGGATGGGATTCATGGCCGAACCACGGGAAGGCCACGTTCATGAAGAAAAATTGTGGTGTATGGTGCCCCAACATGGTGGTTTGCAGTGGTCTTCCTTTTACTTTCCCTTGAAGCCAACCCCGAAAAGTGCCCCTTTAAGCCGACACCGAAAAAGGATGTTTACGCTGACTCACGCTATGCGAGCCCAAGGTATCCATACTTTGCTTGTACCACATGGCACGGGCCTTCCGCAGGCGATGCCGGATGGCTGGCGGTGTCCATCGCGAGCAAGACACGATGCCCCCGTAGACCCGAAATCTGCCTTGGTTGTTGTTCAGTTGAACTGGGCTGCCCGTTTTCGGATCCCCTAAAAGTGACTCACTTGTAGGATACATGGAAATCCAACCACTAAACACAAGCTAAAAAGCTAAGGGGACTGGGAACCACCAAGCTGATTGGCACGAATCCCATTGAGTTTCGCGTTTAGTCATCCCCTTTACCCAAATTTGACGGATATTGTTCCCGGAGCCTGGTTTAAGTACCCAAACAAAGGAAGCCTGGCCATAGCTGGCCCTCACGCATGCGCACCAGAAACACCTGGGTGAAGATCCTCACCCAAAGCACCAAAACATAAAAAGGTGATCGCCTTTTGCGACCTTCTATAAACATATGTCAGGTCAAGCACAAAAACCAAAGGCTAGCCAAAGAGAAACCAAAAGGTTAAAAACAAAAAACGTCAACTGGACTGAGGATCAAGGTCAACTCCTCCGAATCATGGCATGCGTCACTGGCCACTGGCTCGGTTGATGTTCGCACCGATCGGTCCTCTCTCCAAACAGGAATTGGATCCAAATAGTTCACAGAATTCGGGAATCCCTAACAAATCTATACTTTTCCACGGGGCGTGGAAATGAGCTCGCGAACCAGTGAGAGCAAAACAACGGCTGCTATCTCCATTTTCGGTGTGCAGAAAAACGGCTGATGCCCGGTTGGGTCTGGCGCCCGGCCTTCAAAACCAGAAAACAGGGAGGACCTAGCGACACTCAAAGAGACAAGCCCACACCACACAGTCGCCACACGATCCCTTTCCAAGGGGCGGCCAGGAAAGCGGACCTAAGCGCGGATCCAAGAATTGTCTCGGGTTTGTTTGGGGTCTCGGCAAAGAGCTGGGTTTGGGGTTGTTGGGTGTGGTTGGGCTAGCTTGCAGCTGATTTAGACTAAACGCTTTAGGGTGAGTGGCTGGCAAGTTTTGGTTTGAAGCAACGCCCCGCAAGTAATCCCAAACAAAACAACCCAACCTGAAGCCAACAAATACAAGACCCGCCTTCATTCCGATCTCAGCTAGCTTAAAACTCACCCGAAACTCTCAATTTCCGCCAACACAACGTGAACCTACAGGTCCAACTGAGGCAGTTGATGCTGGGTATGCAGCCACCCAAGCGGCAAAATCCGAGCCACTGACCAACCAACCAAAGAGCCATCCAACCATCCACCCAATCATCCAACCAGCCAGAGTTAATAGGCAAAGGGCACGTCTCCTTTCCAGGTCCCACTTGAAGTGCTCTTTCTTTCGTTTTGGGCTGCGCAACAACCCAACCTGTCAAAAGACGTCTTTTTGGCTTATAGCCCCACCACTTTGGCGACCCCCTTCGTTATGTCTTTTTGGGCACTCCGACCACGGAAGCTGCATGACTGCATGCCTCATGAGACGTTGGGCGACACGCATCTCCCTTCGCTGTGGCTGGGACCCGTGAAACATGGCAAATGGGCCAGGAAACCCGCTAAAGGACTGCCCCTGATCATTCAAAGGGGAACGGCCCAAGGAGCAACCCTGTCAGGACTCACCTTGAAATGTCTTCGCCTTTGAAGATCACACCACAAGGAAGCTCACTGAACAAATCGGCCACGTGGCCATCTTCAAAAAGCAGCAGGGAAAGCTTACGAGACTCTAAATAATTTCTCTGGGGTCGGGATATAGTAAAATACATGTCTGCCTGCTATACTGCAGCGAAACCTGGGAAGACTTGACACAATACATTTGACCCTGCAAACAAATCGAACTGGGCAAGGGCCACCTATTTGGAATACACGTTACAAAGCCTAGCTCAAAAATATTTTTGCAATTGGTGTGTTTTGCGGGGGCACTCTCGTCACCTTTCAAGAGCAAACCAAAAGCACCAAAGCCACCGAGGCTTCCCTTGATTTGGCACATGCCAAATTTGTGGCAGGTCTCCAAACGACAAACCCAGCGCCGGGAAGCTGGTCTGGAAGCACCATCCGTGACTTCCCCCCCGGACTCTTGCACGCAGATCACGCCGCCTTCGGCTGCATACGGGTAAAAAGAGCAGGCACACAGCCTAGACCAACCTTATGCATGCCCGTGGTAAACATGCTTCTACCTCAGGCTTCCAAAGTCAGACACAAACAACCTGTTTTGATGTTTGCTTCTTTGTCTCTTTTGGTCACAACGGGGGTCGCTGGACATTTGCTCTTAGCCTGGTTTTTTCATGGCATTCAACCCTTCTCCCCTATCTCCTCGCCCGGCTTTCAGACAAGACCTGGCGTGATAGCTTGTCTCGGGGAACATGGGCTGGTTCCTGCGGGTTCCTGTGAGCCGCTGCTAATTGCTTGGATCTTTAGGCAACTTTTGGTGAATCATGGATTTCCCCACACCACCATTTTCAGCTCACGGGAGTCAAACACGGCTCGGGATCCTTTGTATGATTTAGGATTCGTGTCAGCTTTTTGAGAAAAACTTGGTTCTGGCAGGAAACGTCGTTTTGGTTCTTCTATGTTTCTCTTGTTTTTTGTTTTAAAGTTTTTATCCGAACATGGACCCGTACAACCCGTAAACGACCCGTCTTAAAAAAGGAAAACAAAACAAAAACGCATACTTCGGTACAAACACCGTAAAAAACCGTACGCAAACGAACATCTTGCAAAACCATGTTTCTGTCCGTGCCAAACCGTTGTTTTTCGGGACACCTGTTTCTTTTTGTGTGTTTAGTAGCGCATGTCATACACCTCATGTATTCAATCAAAGCTGCCGATTCGACGGTCAAACAAGAAAACGGTTTGTTCACAAGCACGCCTGGATGCCGCCTTTCCCGCTATGCCCAGTCAGCGGAGTCAGCTTGGTTGTTGGGTTTCTTGCTTGCTTGGCTGTTGGGTTTCTTGGTTGTTGGGTTGCTGCTCGCTTGCTTGCTCGGCTGGCCACGGGTCGCTGCACCCGGCATCATTCCATCGGTCCGCATCAACAGAAACAACTCAATTTCTGGAAACCAACGGCTGAATGGAGCCTATGCAACAACTCAAACACAAGTCGCAAGCTGTTGCTCCCTTAGCTTGTGACCCCTTTCAAAGACACATCCATGCACCAACCCGGGCAAAACATATGGGTAATTTATTGCGGCATGACCCTGCAATATATGGTCAGAAGATACGGCTCCCATACTGGGCATGGGACAACTAGTGAGTTGTGTGGCTTGTTGGTGGGAAAATCTGTGAGTCCCCTCGTGTTCCTCCTCCCTCTCTCTTCCTCATGTTCCTCCCAACGGAAATAGACCATGGACTACTGCATATGTTGACCTAGGCTCGTTTGGAGAGAACATCAACAGGTTGGTTTAGCGCAATCTTCCTGCGAGTGTTTTTGGGGCGACACGCGGGGGAATGGATGGTGGATTGCTATGGATGTCTAGGTGGGCGGATGGAGGGTCTGGGTGGATGGATGGGGTGTCTAGGTGGGCGGATGGAGGGTCTGAGTGAGTGGATGGAGGGTCTAGGGTGCATGGCGGTGGCGGGCAACCTTCCAGCGCGTTTCGGGGCGACCAGTCCCTCCCTTTCTGCACCCAGAAGGGGAGCTTCTCATGGCATCCATGGGCGCCGAGACGCAGGCATGGTCCCAGGTCTTCAGGTCTTCCTCATACTGGACCTATGCTCGGGGGAAAGACAAACAAATCAACGAAGCTGCCGGCTGAAGGTTTTTCTTTTCTTTTTTTAGTGTTTCATTTTTTGTCCCGGCTTCTTGTGGGTTTCCATGTTGGAAGGTTTTTGGGGACCCCCCTTATTTTTGGTGGCTTTGAAGGGAAACCAAGAGGAGAAACACCACCATTTTGGGGGTAAATAGAAATCACACACCCTGGAGTTGTCTGGTGGGCATGGAAGTAAGAAGTACACACACACACATTTTACAAGACTACTTATGAGCCTCTGAAGGCCTAACTAGGCTAGTTGGTTGGGGAAGGTGTGCCCCAATAGGTTGGTGACCCGAATTATTACTGTAGTTGATCGGGCAAATGCCCAAAGCCTAGACTTGTCGTTCACACAACTTACTAATCCGGGGTCAACATTCGGCCTTTCACCAAGGCCCTCCTGCCACAGGCTTTACCCATTATGCAGGCATCTGGCTGTTGACTAGGTCAGAAAAGAACAGATGACCCAAACCCCTTTGGGTTTCGTCTGGCAATTGCCAACTCTAATGTTGACCCCAGATTAATCAACCCCTGTTTATGAACGGGGGGGTGGGGGCCCCTCCAAAAGTGGTCTGATTCCCCCACATTTCACCCAGAAATGGACACCCCCACATTGGAAGCATCATGTTTGGAGGGGAAGACACCCATATTAATCAGCAACTAGGTCCTCCAGTAGAGAGGTTAGAATAAGGGTACCCTTGTTTGCTGTAGGTCTTCTCAAAAAAAAAAACACGGGAACTCGGGGACTGAGAAAAGACATGCTCAACCAAGCCATTGTCAAAAGAGAGAGTATATCTGAGGATTTCCTGGTTCCCTTGCACATTAAGTGCTTTTCAACCAAATGAAAGGGATCCCCAAGGATCCTTCCAATTGAAAACCGTCGCAACCGTACGCCCTTCTTGCTGCCAAAGGGGCATAACCGCAATGGCTCCCGGCCGCTACAGCGAAATACTTGATCATGGAGCCGCAGCACCTAAGACACCCCGGGCCAGGAGGCCACGAAAGGTTCCTTCAAAACCTCGCCTTTTGAGAAGTCTGCTCGTCTAGGTTCTCCAGTTGAGAGGTTAGAATAAGGGTACCCTTTGTCTGTAGTCTATTTTAGTAGGGGACAAAAAAGGGTTCAAGGGCACTACTGGGAGACCTAGTTGTTGCGGTCTGGAAAAAATGGTCAGGACGGGTTGACCTTATGATGTTGCCGCCCGAAGCAAACAACAGTTCCCGCCGCTCAGGAAGGTGCTCATGGAAGAAAAGGACCACTCAGAAAGGAGCTGCTCAATCATCCTGGACCGAAACCAAAAGGTCAAAAAGTCGGCTTTGGACACGTGAGCATCCTAAATGGCTGTGGGTCAAAAATGGGAACCCAAAATGGAACCCTGGTAAATGGAACCCAGGATTAAAACCTGGGGTTACCTGGTGGTTGAATTTTGACCCACACCAAAATATGAATTATAAGTGGGGGGGGGGGCAACTAGTCAGGGGTCGGATTACAAAAAGTTGCAGGTACAATGGAAAAAACACACAACTTCCCAAAACATCTAAGACCAGTGTGGCGGTGGGGCACTCTTTTACTTGTGGTTGGCTTTGAAGGGGTCCCGCCCCCTCCAAAAACATGATGATTGACATATGTTTGACTGAGGCGTACCGCACATGAGATAAGCTAAAGGCATACTAGACAAACTATCCAACTTTGGAGCTCTTTCTGTTTGGAACGAGCCCAACATGTTCTCCCACCATCATTTGTAAAAGTCCGCCTAGAGGTACCAAATGTACCTCAAAAGCTCAAAACAAGCTTATGCTAGTCAAGAACCTTCATGACATGCGACCGCTTTTTGCTGAAGGCAACTCGCTGCAACTTGCGCCGGTACTGCATTCCAACTTGCAATAACCCGTGTGTACATTGGCTGGACTCTCGGCCTAGTGTGTGCTAACGTTGGCAACTCCTTGACACCAGCGTCCGGTCCAAGCCGCAAATGGGAAGATGGGCCATCGCCGAATGGCCTTGCCAAGACATTTGGCTTCAGTCGCCATGCCCGAGTCAAATAATAAATAGAGTGCACTAAAACGCCGCCACTGTATTATGTAACCCGCATATAGCCGTACATAGTTGCGGTGGTCTGTGGCAAACAAGGGCAGTATGATGTCGTAGTTTCGGCTAGGGGAAGACTGTCAGGGTACACATGACGTTAGCCATTGATTGGCGGGGAGCCAAAAATCATGTGGTTGTCCAATCGCAAAAAGGTGTTGGGCGCCTCATGAGGCCGAATCGCCAGCGCGAGCCTGTGTGAAAATTGCTGAACTAACGTTGACCCATGTGCCGTCCGTGCGAGGACCGCAAAGGGACTCTCTGTAAATGCTTGGCCCAAGCTTGTACAAACCTTGGCCAAGGAACTGGTTGAACCTTCGGGTGATATCATTACTTTAGGTGCTTAACAGTGACATTGAAGTCTGACCCTGCAATACTCACTTCCCGAGTGGATGGCCCCACCAAAAAAAACATATGTTATTTGCCACTAGAATGGTCTTCCAAAAAAGCTTAAAGTCCAGAAACTCATGAGGTGAGGCAATAGAACCTGTATTCCATCGGCTGCCTCGCGTTTAGCCAGAAGTTGCCAGTTTTTCACCCACATGCTCTTCGCCCATTGCCAAGGCCCCAAGATTCGAGTAAGGGATTGCCACCTAAAGAATCAGCCATCCACAAGCCATTCACTGCCGGCTCCCCGAGCCGTGAACTTCCTGGACCCACGAATAGCTCCATTCATTCAGCCCCGCAAAACGCTACCTACGAGGGGCTTGCTGGAAAAGGCCGATTTCGTGGCCCGGACCCCTGCAGTCAGCTTAGGTGGCTTGAGACATCAGAGGACACTGACCCAGCCGCTCGGTGAAGAAAGTGGGGGGTGATGGCTTTGTGAAAAAAACAGTTTTGTCTTGCCCGAAGGATACTAGAAAATCATATTTTCAGAATTCTGGTTGGTCTACCCCTGAATGCCCTGAACGCAGCGGATGCCGGATCCGGCCAACCTGAGCCACTAACGCTATGCGACCTTCCCACCAATGCCTCACCTTACCAAAGGTTAAAAAATGTTCAAGAACTCCGGGAGGAAGACATGGTGGACAGAATCCTGCACTACTTAATATTGATGAATTCTGCTGTTATAAACCACAACTCGCTTGCCCAATGGACCTAGAAAGAACATAACCATTGGGGCCATGACTAAACATGAAGTCAGACAACCCCAACTGGCGCGAAGCGGATGTCTATCCACAGGCCTGCCGAATAAATAAGGCACTTTGCTGGGAAAAGAATACCTAAAAAAGAGAGAGGTAAACACCAAGAGTTTGAAGGCGAAACGTCGCTTCTCAAATGATACTTTGGTCCTAGCCAAGCATGTGCCAAACCAAGAAAACGCTACACTGTTTACTTGTCCTCTTGGTCTCCCTTTGAAACAACCAAAAAACACGTACCCTCAAAAGCACATACCTTCTTAAGTTGATCAAGCGTTTACGTGTCCCTAACCCACTGCAACCGTCGATCCTATCTTCTGGACTCTCGGTTTCTCTCAAGACCTAAGTTGACTTTTGCTTGATGCTTCCAACAACAACTTTGAGGGGCTTTGCTCCTGAGGTTGACAAGTTTAGCAGTTGCCCAAGGAACCCGGGGAAAAGAAACACAACAACATAGGATCAGCAAGGGGAAACCAAAAGGTCAAAGGGTTTGGAAGAAGGGATCAATCGCCGGCCTGCACTCCTCTCCAGCCAGTTGCGGGGACACCAGCCACGGTGGAAAGTCGCCTCACTTCGAACCCGACGCAGCCTTTGGTATAGCGTCTTTTTGGTGGGACGTAGAACGGACCAGGAATCGCAATCAATGGACTACGCCCTCTGCACGTACATAGCTTCCTAAAGCAGCCACACGTGAGAACCACACTGCAAAACTGCTTGAATGGGCAAATTCTAAAGCGATAAACTGGCTGACTCCCTGCCAAGCTCGGCAGTAGTCTTATTCGGGGGTATTCAGGACACAAGCTTGCTGCACGAACTTGTCTACTTTCCTAGCCTAGCACTGCCAGCTTAAGGCTGGGGCGAGCCACACACTTCACTGACTGTCGGTCTTTCTTTCCCTGTAACTGTGCTGACCAAACCAAACAAAGGCATCGAGTGTTTCCCCTTTACAGCCGTACTACACCCTATAGACAAAATCAGAATCCGTGACTTCAACTTGCGCACAACAGGAACTTGCGGACAGAGAAGATTGACAAAACAACGGCAAACACAGACCAGGATAAACTCGAACTATCATAGTCATGTGTTCAGACTTGATGTCCCACAACCATGACAACTTATCCATTAAGCGACTGGTCCAACTAATCTGATTCTAATGAAAGCATGATTGTATTTTCCCATTGGCCCGAATTTGACACCGCCTATAACTTAACCACAGCGACCAACCGAAGAAAAAACAAACTGCAGCACTCAGCCTAGCGGGTCCCTCCTTTCCCGCCTTGCCACTCTTCCGCTTCGTCAGAGGCGGAGCTCAGGCCTGGCGACGTAGAGGATTGGGTTTTGTTACGCAAAGCCAACAAAAGGCAACCATCTGTACCACATCCAAGTTCCAAACATTCTGTGACAGGGGGTATAAAAGGGATACGCAAGGTAGAGCTATTGCCCCAACACCGCTTTTCTTGCCAAATTGGGCTTTGCTGGGGTAACCCAAGCAAAAGGGGGTCCATCTGGTGAGCCTCCCGAGGAGCAAATCATCCATCATCCCACCACGAGGTCTGACTGGTGGCACTTTTACACGGTAAAATCTGGAACCTTATCTTGGATTCCACAGTGGGAGACCAAGCGGTTGCGGTGAAATAAAAAAATCAAATCGATCTTGGTTTTTGTCACTGCCATGTTCCCGTACACTACTTTAACATGTCTTGCGAAATATGACTTGGATCAAGTAAAGGACTCACGCCATGAGTGAACTCGTGCTACAAAATGGACAGCTGTGGTCGGTCAAAATTACGTGTTTTGCCTATAAGGACATACGACCATTTGTGAAGGCCCTGGCTATGTTTGAAACTTCTCGTCTCTCCATGGACCCTAGAACTGGTAAACCTCACCGAACCCGGGTTGCTTGGCCCAAATCTAGGGTACCAAGAAAGTCATATGTCATATGTTGAAATCACGTTTCAAGCCCTTTTTCATATCACATAGTTTTGGAGGAGACCCCGGATTTGGGCGTCTGCATTTGCATTCCACATCCTAGATGCGGGTGAAGGGCATGACTCAACCCAAGGAGCTTCACCTTCTTCCACACCAGTCGCACCCTGCATTCAGCAAAAGAACAACACAATTCCCGGTTACGACTGAAGGAAATCTAGGTCCTCCAGTAGAGAGGTTAGAATAAGGGTACCCATTTTTTGTAGTCTACTTTAGCAGAGGAACCCTTCCCCCAAAAAGAAACGGTAAAAGGGCACCTACTGGGGGACCTAGAAATGACTCACCCCACAGATTCTTTTGCCCCCCCCCCCCCCCCGTTCGTTCCAAAAAAACAACGCGGGAGCCGTGCCTGCGGACCACTCGGGCTCAGATGGCTCGACGCGAGCCATGGGCCCATCGCTGGGCCACCAGCGCAGGCCACAGCCCTTCACCTGACCGGTGAGTGAAGCGAGGCGATGAGGAAACCAAACCCTGCTTTGGGTGGATTTAAAGGGAAATCAACAGGGAAACCATCCTTCCATTTGCGTTGTGCATTCCCTGGAAAATATGAATATTTCCAGTAGTGATAGATTCCCTTTCGAACCCACAGAAGGAAATAACAACATATTCTTAAACAAATGGAAGAAGCCAGGCCCAAATGATTAGAATCACCTCTCACGAATTTGGTGAAGCGAGCAAACCTCAAGTCCACAGGCTGGAAAGCTACGGGAAGGGGCTGGTGGCAAGGGGAAGGGGGAAATCCGAATCCCTTTACAGGATTTAAACCAAGGGCTTGCTGGTTTGATGTGGTTTGCCCACAACTTTGCTCGGGCATCCGATGTACCAACTCAACGGCTCAACCACGTGCCAAAGCCAGGAGGAGCGCATGTTATTTGCGTCCATGTTGGCAAGATATCCTTAAAATTGCCCGAGCTAAGTTGTGGGTTAACGGCAAACAGCCCTAGAAGTCATTTGAGAACGCATTTGCATCTAGGTCCTCCAGTAGAGAGATTAGAATAGGGGTACCCTTTTTTTCTGTAGTCTATTTTAGTAGGGGAACCCTCCCCAAAAAAGGGTAAAAGGGCACTACTGGGGGAGCTAGACATGTCTTCACTTTGAGAGACGCCAGTGAAGGCCGATGGACAGAAGCTGCCTAAAGCAGCAGTCTGAACCCACTCGCTTGTGGTCGCAGAATGGCGTTGGATTGAAACTTGCTCTCTGCCCGAGGGAAAACACTCCGTTTGAACATGTTTCAACAAGGGCGACCGAAAAACTGGGGAGATGGCTGGCCTGTGTTTGGCCAGCATTGCCACCGACTGGTGCGTTCCCAGAACTCCTGTGGTTCCCCACATTTTCAAGACCTGACAAGGAATTCCAAAGTACAGGACCTACACCATGAGTGTTCGCTTGTCTTTCCCCCAGCTCGGTGAGCTCACCAGAAGAGGCAAACAAGTTGACCAAAGAGCTAAGGGTTTGGACAGGCCGTACTATCCCCATTGGACCAGGTATGGTCGACCGAGCGTTGAGTTTCAAGTCCAGAAATCTGGGAAGGACTAAACCTTTGCTCGCCGAGCTGCTGCTGCCATGATCGGCGGCGTGGTAGTTGCCTCGGCGAGCACCCGATAGCACCCGGCTGGCAATGAACACTGCGCGTGGCATTTTGGTTGTTCAACCCTTTTTGGGGTGCATTTGCTTTTTCGCCCCCCCCCCCCCCCCGGCAAGAACTACAAGAAAAACATCTAAAGCCAACAAGGGCAAATGAAACAAATTCTTAAGCCAATGGAAGGCTAGCTCAAAGGGAGCCAGTCATCGCACCAGCCGGGGCCCACCGCTTTGTCGGGGTCACAGCCTTGCCGGAAATGCGAATGGCCACCTCACGCCAACGGCTAAATCAAGCCGAGCTGCGTTTGGGTAGCCTCGAGTCGCGTGAGCGCAGGAAACTAAAGCACAAGACAACGTCAGCACTTGTATTGTGATCGGCCATCAGTTCGGGGGTGGGTTCGTCTAATTCGGCATGCGCGTCCTGAAGGCTGGCCGGGCTTGCGCTCATCCCCAGCTTTGCTGAAACATGTTGATCACACCCTGCCGTATACGGAGTGGACAACTGCTCATATATGTCCATACTTATAATATAAAACCAACCATTCGAATGAAACGTCCCCTTGAGCAACAACACATTTAGCAGATTGTAGCAGGTTCAATGTAAAATCCGAAAACTGTCCAACAACATCTAGATGCCTGTCACACCAAACGCCATCTATTTTTGGTTGCAACAGATTCACTTTGAGTAATTGAGTGGTGCTTCAAATGTTGAAAAGCCACCCCGAAGGTGAGGATGCGCACAATCCAGGTGGTTTATCCATCTCCACATCTCCTGATTCCTTCCTTCCACCCTTCACGAGCAACCTGTTCTTCTGGAACCTCTAGTCAGGCTCCGTGCTAGTGGGAGCTTCTCAAACCTTTGGTAGCAAACAAAGCTATACGTTTTGCAGTTTCCCGTTCCCACTAAACAGCCTCAGGACAAAACACCAAGCAAACCGAAAACACACGCACGGCACAGCAAAGGGAGGGCAGCCCCTTCTTCCCAGCAGCCCATGACGCCGACGATGGGCTCCCCATCCACCAGCAACGCCAAGCCGATCACGTAGCCCTCCCCCGTCACGAAGCCCTTGGTCCCGTCAATGGGGTCCAGCACCTGAAAGATATGGCCATGGGTCAAAAATCAAGTACCCCCTAGACTAAAACGGGTGGTGCACCTACCCCAAAATGGTACCAATGGTACAGCCATATCTGGACCCAGCGTCAAACCCACGGAAACACCTTCTGTGTGCGTCGAGTTTCATAGAGCTCTTCCGTTTGGAGCCCAAAAAAACACGCCGCCACCCGAAACACCTCGCCAAAACCTTTCGTCTTCCAAAGGGGTGTGCGCTCAGAAACTCAGGGAGTCTCGTGACATACCCTTTGCAAAGAGTGCCCTTCCATGGTCACACGGCCATTCCATGGAAAGGGCGGCACTGAGCAAAGCACACTAGGGAAAGGGCACCCTGATCACCTGCAAAGTACTTTTCTTGGGTGCTCTTCCCTTTTGGTAGATTCAATGGAAAAAGCGACTTGCTAGTCCCTCCTTTTGGGCGACTCAGATTGGCCACAATCTGAGTGTAAACTTTTAAAGATACCGTCCCACCAATTAACATGGAACCTGACAGGGGGTCCTGGAACACCATGGAACCTGACGCTCGGGGCGTCCCGGTTTAGACCATTTTCCTTTTTAAAGCACCCCCGAACATCAGGTTCCATGCTAGTTGGAGGGTACGCTTTTAAAGGGGTTGTTTTGGGGTAAACCAAATGGCAGCCATTTTGGGGGGGCTCCATCCCCCCATCGCGTTAAGCAGGGCGCCCACACACGGCGCTGGCCCTTGTCCGTCTCCACCCCCGCATCCACCGCAGCCAAGAAGATATCGCGGCTCATGGGCCCGCCTCGGAAAGCCGAGCATTGGGAGTCCCAGTCCACCTTCAGCTTCCCTTTGATCTTCCCTTTGGTTTGTTCCTTTTTTTTCCGCCACCCAAAAAAAGGGTCCCATCTAGCTTTCTCGGGAAAATCCAAGTTCCCTTTTTTTCAACTGGAAAAAACAAATTTGTCCAGTAGTGAAATCGATCCCCTCGAAAACCAGCCAGTCAGCTTCCCGTTAGCTGGCTTGGAGCCGAATCGGCGGTGAAATGGAGGGGTTTCAAATCCATTTTCCCACAAGAACCAAAGGTTGAAATCCCAAACCAACAACCCAACTAACGGTTTCCTGAAACCTGAGCCCCACTTCTCAGAGAAAAATACACAGAGTTTCCGGAGACTACTCTGCTTGTTCAGGAGTCTCCGAAAGAAATGGGTCGTCAACTGGGGAGGTCGTGCTAATTTTCCTTCAAGGACCATAGCACTCAGGTCCTGAACAGCATATCAAAACGGTGTTCTTCCCGGTTCTATGTCAATATGTGCGGGGGGGGGGGGGGGGTCTGGTCTATTTGGGATGGCATGGAACCAAACATCTAAAATAAGTTTGTGATGGTTTGTGGTGTGCCTTGCTTCTGCGAGATGGGATGTCCGTGGAGCCGTTGAACCATTGGCTCCCTAGATGCCGGATTCCGGATGTCCCAGAAATGGTCAATTTGGGGAGTTACAATCGCAGCCAACTTGGGGCTGCTTTTGGCCCACGCACACGCCACAACTAAGACGTTCAGATTCTGCGTCATTTTTGGGCACGGGTCTCCCAGTTCTTGAAGCACTGGCATCGGCATAGGGGCCGAAGATTGATGGACCCCAACTGTTTCAGGGTTGCGCCGAGTGCAGTGATTCTCCAAAAAGGACACCCTCAAGGCAACCAACAAGAGCATCAATTCTTGGGGGGCCGGACAGTGTTGAACCAATCTGCACAATCTTCAACCGAGAGCCCCGATGGCTTTGAACGGATCAAGCGTTCAACTGTTTTATGGCAGGCTCTTTCTGCCTTTTGGGGAGCGGCTCCAAGGCCCAGCTTCAAAACTCCCATGCCGGAAAGCTTACAGTACCGCTTTTGGGGGACGTTGCGAGGGCTCCGGGCACAAGCTGCGGGTATTGGCTTCGCTAGCCGAGTGGCCGGCAAATCCCAATCCAAAAGCACATGGGCGAACATATCTGCCTTTTGGAATACGGTGGCCGCAAACTCCTTGTTTTCCGAAGCTGCCATCATTCTAGAATCCGCCATCATTCTGGATATGAACTTCAAACATGCGTTTTGGCCACCAACCATCTTTGAAGGCAATGTTGATTCCAGATTGACCCCGTTCCTTTTTTCGGGGTTTGTGCTCCCCTCAGTGGTCTCTTGACCCCTGAAAAGGGGACACACCCGATCATCAAATCAGTGCCTCGACCCCCAGTGCAGTCCAAAGGGCCGAACTTGGTGCACAAATCCTTAGTTGGGCCGTGCTTTCCCGGCGTGTTGAAAATGCGCTGAAAGCCTTTGGATGCCAAAACTCTCTCAAAAGACGGAAAGGTTCGAGGGCCAAATTTCTAAACACCGTTCAACGATAGGGGAACCCCACAAACACCGTTAAACACTGATAGGGGAACCCCACAATGGTGGCTTTAAAACCAGCCAGGGTACCCAGCGTCCAAAACATGTTGCGAAGAAGCTCCAAAGTTCGAAACTGTCCAAGGAACCGCCACTTCCGCGCTATGGTGCTGTTGTGTCTGCCTCAGGGTTCTCAATACTTGCCCTTAAAACATCACTCCCACCGAGGGCAACTCGTGCTGTTTGAAACCACCACCACCTGGAAATATGGGAGTGTCCGTTGTTTTGTGGTTTTAACGGGAAACCACAACAAACACCCACCAATACCCACCGTCTGGGGGTGCCCCCTAAGAACACCTTGCCATAGGTCGACCTCTCGTCTCGCCGGGCGTCCAAGGCCATCTCGCAAAGGTCCGGGTCCTCCCGCAGATCGGTGGCATCCTCCTCGCCCATGAACCGATCTGAGGGGAACCTACAGCGATTTTTCTGCCGAAGCACTCGGCAAATGCCTCGGAAAAGAGCAGAAACCTGAGGCACCCAACGTGCCCTTTTTTTTGGGTACGAGAAAAATACGCTCGAATTGCCGATTTCTGCTCGACCCCGCAAAAAACGCTCGCACCCCGAAAAACGCTCGACCAAATCCCTTCTTCCATCCAAAGGACGGCGGGCATTGTTACGTTTTTTGAATTTGCACTCGTTTGCGGATATTTGCGCTCGTTTTGCAGATATTTGCGCTCGTTTTGCACTTCGAATTCTGCTCGCTCCATTCGATAATTCAGCGACCGATCATCTTGGAGGACCGACCAGCCCGGTTTTGGGAAAAACGCTCGAAGCAGGAAAAAGTGTACATTTACCGTATTTTGGTGACGACCCCTGGTTTTGCAATGCGTTTGGGCTAAGGGCAGAAATTTAGGTAGCGAAGGGTGCTCCAGGAATAAAAGGTCCAAAGGTCAGTCGCTTTGGACAACACTCAGCACTATGTCAACCCCGGATCTCAGTAGAACCTGTCCCATTAGGGCTCCAAAAGTGGTCTGAAACCCAATCCAAATCAACTAGGGTCTTTTGCTCTGAGGTCAACATGTTCGTGTCGCTATAACCACCTGCAACATGTTTCGCATGAGGGCCAGGTTACGGTTTCTGGAACATAAGAATCCCAACAAGCTAACGGATCAAGATCCAATAGCGGCCAAGTACAAGCGAGACACAGCCACGAGGCTTACAGCCTCACACCCTGAGAGGGTTGGCGAAAGAGAGCTCGGAGTGTGAGCTCGGCATGTCGTCTCTCTGGTTCTTGTTTAGTGCCTTTTTCAAGATTGTTGAATAATTACATGGCACCTGCAGGCCCGTGAAGACAATAAATGCTCTTGTGGTGGGTTCCATGCGAGCCATGTTCCTAGGGTCGCTTGCCAACTTTCTGAGAAGAATTGGGAGAGGGCCCCAGGCATGTTTCGGTCCTGCCCTCCGGAGGTATGGACACGAAAGTCACAAAAGAAGTGGCCGGCACGGCAAGCAAGAGCAGGGTTTTGCGCTCATTCGGGGACGTGTCTCACAGCTAGTAAAAAGTCTTCGCTGGCCTTCCAGTAGCATTACACAAGTCAGCAACAACAGCCCTCATGCCCAAATGGGCTTCTTGAAATAGGGGTCCCCCATAAATGGTGGCTTCCTTTTGGTCTCCCACTCGAACCACCCCCAAACAGGAGCGCCCTCAACAAAGACACACCCAAATAACATGACCCATCCCAAAGACAGCCCCCCAGTAGGCTGAAGCGAACGAAACCAGCAGTCAGTGTTTGACTTTGATAAGGCAAATTCTGCAGCTTTTCCTCGAGCAAACTCCTTTTGAGGAAGCCCTTCTTCGTCTTGATCTGTAGGTAGGTGCCTCCCATGACTGGTTTTGCCACCCCGCTTTGACACCTCATGTGAAAACTATAACTCGCTTCCCGAGTGGATGGCCCAAAAAAAGTAACCACACTAGTTAGTGTACCACCAAAATGGACCAACCCCAAAAAGTTCAAAGTCCGAAAACTCATGAAGTGAGATAAGGGTGAGCAATTTGACACTCAGTTTTGAGGTTTGACGCTTTTTTTTTGCAGGTTCGACCCCAAAAGAAACAAGCTTCGGCCCAAGCGCAGCCGCTTCAACGTCGCAGACACGAGGCCCTGGATCGCGTAGTCCGCCGCCGTGACTGGGGTCGAGTCACCTGAGCCACGAGGCGACGAGGCGACGAGGCGACGCCCGCGGGAACCCATGGAAAGAGCCCAAGGGAGCGACCCAAACCCGTTGACTCTTGCTTCTCATGAGTTCTATGGGTTGATTCACCAACCCGGGGTTTTGGCTTTGTATTAAAGTTAATGAACCCATCACGACCAAAACCCATTAATAGTTTCATCAATTTTAATATTAACCAACCGGGTTCTATGGTTGTCGCCATATTGACCAACCCCACTTTATTTATTGGGGGGGGGGGGTTCTGGGTTTAGTGGGGAATCAAACCACTTTTGGAGGGAACACCCCCCCATTTTATGAACTGGGAAGGGTCACGCTCTTTGGGTCTGCCCTTTTTGGAGTTGCTACCCCTTTTTGGGGTTGTTTAAAAGGGAAACAAACAGGAATACCAAAATGCGTTTGTTTGCATGGGGGGGCTAATAAATTCACCCATTTGGGGTTTGGTAAAGCTTAGCCAACGTTCAACCCTAAGATTCGATTCTTTTCTAGCCTCGCTTTCAGGGCAACGATGCAAGACGGTGCCAAACATTGATCCAGAAAAACAAACGTGGTTACAACCGACCCCTGACCTGGTGTTTTTTTCATTTTGACCAATACCTAGGGCTTCGAGAACTTGTAAAAATGTAGTACCTTGACTAAACCATCGTGTTTTTCTCGATGTTCTGAAAACATTGTGTTTGCAGCAAAAAACACATCGTGTTTTTTTAGGTACGACCTCTTCATCGGTTTTTGTGGCTCCTGGTACCCATTTGCTCGCCAGCCATGGAGTCCCCTCGCCTTCCTTCACAGCCACCCCGGCGGTCACGTAGCACGCCTCCAGCTCTTTGCCCGCCGAGGCGGGCGCCACCTGACACGCACATCCGGTTTTTCGGGGCGGTGATTGGCCGGAAACAAGGTCCTAAACTTGTTCTATCCACCTGACACGCCCATCTAACAAAAACTTGCCGAGTAGGTTGGACGGAAACAGGTCCAAACTTTTTCTTTTCCACTGAAATGGTCCAAACCCCAAAAGTTTCAAGTCCGAAACGGAACTCAGGGAGTGAGAATTCAGAAGCAAAGGGGTGCCCAGACGCTGGACAGGTCGACCACGAAGTACTCAAAAAGCTCCTCTTTTTCAAGGCCGGACCCTTGTTATTGGCTGCCGAGTGGTTTGAGAAAATGGGCGATTCGCACCCCCGGCAGATTTGTATGAACCCATTTTTTTCCTGTGGGCAAAAAGTAGTGAACTCCTTGCACCCAAGTCCAACATGAAGCCGCTAAAGGGGCGCGGATGGCCAAGTCACTGAAGGGCATTCTAACAGCAAACTGCGCGTCGTTTGCCAAAACAGTAGGCAATGTTTTCAGCAAACGGCAAGGCTTAGAGTCCAACGAAATAGCAAGAAGAGGTGGTGATGCTTGCTGCCTGACCACGAACATGGAACCTGACTGAGGGGTCCTGAAAAACGATGTTCCTTTAAAAGGAACCCTCTGGTTCCATGGTATCGTGGAGGGTATGAGCTCCAGGAACTCAGCGAGCTAAGTGAGTGAGCCCTCAGCGGGCCGGCTGAAAAGGTCGGCTGGCCTCCATGTCGCAGGCAAGAGCTTGCACTAACCTCACGTCCCGAATGCGCGTCTACGGAGAAGCCAAGGCTAGACCGTCCAAACGACGTCCAATGTGAAGCTGAGGAGCCAAACATTGGATTTTTGTTCTGCCCAAAGGGGGGGATTGACCCGGCTCCTTGAAGTGGTTTTACTTGTAGGGGTTCTCAGTTGTCTTCTCTTTCTGGTCTTTTCTTTTCTTTGCAGCTTTTTTGTTTTTTTTGGGGGGGCGAGTGTGCTCTAGGGATGTCACTTGCAGAGATCCATCAGCTTGCGACGTGTGGTTTGCACGCGCAGCTTGCCTCCCCCAAAGACCGGATAAAAACGGTTGACGGGTCACCTTTTGGGCATTAGGCCTTTTTCTCGGTGGGGCTTCTGGCTCCCCACAGCAAGCGGGCTTTTGTCTGCTTCTCCCTGTGTGGTTTGGCTTTGTGGTTCTTCCGGTAGTCTACTCCCTTTAGACATCTTTAGACCAACAGGCGGAAACTACAAACCAAATGGTACATTGTTGACCAAAGTGAGTTAAAATCCTCAGACCTTCATCTTGTGCAAGCTTGTTTTAGCCCAAGGTGAGCTGGTGTGACAATTGCTGCAGCCTGCATGCATCGCGACTAGTACCAATTTCAAAGCACACCGACATTCACCAATGGAGGAGCTGCTTTTGATATGCGATATAGCCTTGGAGCAGACTATCTGTGCAAGTGCTGGGAGAGGTGCACATTAGGCATCGCTCAGCTCAGATCATTGGCAAGGGACCATTCCATAGCCAAGAAGGAGGTCCAAAACCGACAAGTGACATAAACAAGCCTTGGCCCAACGTACCTACAAACATATGTATATATATATATATATAGATATATATATCACGTTGCTGGCTAGGGCAAATGAAGAAACCCCAGGGTTTCCTTTCAAGGGGCAAGCCTTTGCTCTGGCCAAGCTGAGTCGTCTAAGTGCTGCCTCGCGACAGCAGCGCTTGCTGCACCACCTGGCAAACAAATCTGCCAAAGCTTGGGCTGACTCAGGCCTTCGGGACCAAAAATTTGGGGAAGCCCGGCCAAGCAACTTGGGCTCGAAGATTTCCAGATGTCTCATTGGCCAACGTGACGTAAACAAAATGTTTTCATTCTGATGGCTTCTCAGAAGCTAACGCAAACAAAAAGAAGCATCGTAATGGTACACGCTCTTCTTTTGAGCCCAAGGTGTTGGACCCTTCCCGGAATTCCAAAATTGCCGGCCAGCTCCCAAAATAAATTTGGGGTTTACCAGTGACTCCCAACCACAACCAACCAGCTCCCAAGACAGGCCTTCCATGAAGGGCCTTCCTTGGCTGTGGCTTTGCAGGCCACCCCTGGATGGATTTGTCTTGGCTGTTTCTCACTTGCCTTGTAGGGACCTAGAAATGAAAGAACAACACCTGCAACCAAAAGTCATTTCAGGTTGATTGGCTTTCGACAGGTGCAGATTCTATGTTTGAGTCTGCTTGGGGATCCATGGAGTATGGTTGCCATGCAGGAGTAAGGTAAGCTTGAGAAGCCACCCAACGGGGTTCCGGAATATACAATGCTGTGCGATACTAAAGTCTTAGTCACCCAAGCAAAGGACTACTTGCTAGATATGAGGATCCCATAACTCGACGCATCCCTTTTAACATCAGTGGCTTACACTCTGACTTCGGCCCCTTACATCCCCTTAGCTGTCGCTGCTGGGAAACATGAACAAATCGCCGTGCATGCGAGCTCTGTTCTAGCTCCTGCTATGGCTGACTGATGAATGCCCGACCAAGTATTGCAAATCACTCGGGCGCGAACCAAGTCAAACTTCGCCGCCCAATTTTCTGAAGGGACCTTCTGGCGGTTTTCATGGCAACGTGGGACTATAGCCCGCCGAGTTCAGTCATAGGACCGCGCTTGGCGCCAAATGCATTGCACAAACTAAACCTGCAGGAAACCAACCTTTGAGACTTCGCGTCTCCCTTGATTGGTTTGGTCAGGAAAAGTCCAGATCGACTTGACTTGTTGCTTACCCCAGGATAGTCCCAGCAATCCAGTCCATGACCAGTCTGCGGACTGTCAGTGAACTGATTGGGGGAGGGGGGGGGGAGTGGATAACCACCCATCAGTGGGCAAAAAGTCAAAGTCCTAACATCCAAGCGAAATGTACCTTCAAACCGAGCATACTTTCAGCTGCGAGGCTCGAGTTTCCCCGGCCTCCACCGCGGCCAAGACCTCCGCCTCCAACTTCCCCCCGAAGACCTCGGCCTCCGCCTCTTCAGGCTCCGAGGCCTTCAACGTGTGGCGCCCACGCCCGCACCTCCGTCCTGGGCAGTGGCGTGCCCAGGGAATCAAATGACTGGAGAATGGGTTGATGGAAAGCATATGGTAGTACTCCGCCGAAAGTTTATCCTGTCAGAAATGCCGTTACGGGATCAACAAGACACAACTGAGGTGCTGGCACTATGATTCGTCGTTGTGGGTTTTTACTTTGTCTGCGCCAACCCCAAGCCAGATCGCACAACCGCTCCTGCCACTCCCCCCCACCCTCCAGTGTTGGTCCATTTTAGTCTTCCCCAAGGCCCAAGGTGCGGTTGGAGCTTGAGGGGTACTTGTGCAACCTCACGATGCAGAGCTACACCAGGTAAGCAAAAAAGTTGCTTGGCAACCGGAAACGCAGACACCTTTTGTTTGAACATCTTGGGATCTGACAGCAAGAGTGAAAGTTGGCCATGGGACATCCAAACCTCCGGTGACACGCCGGGAGCCCCCTGATAGAAAAATCGCAAAGGGCAGCACTCGATGTCTGGGATATGCAGGACTGCGCTCTGTCCGATGTTCCATGATCGCCATTCAAACAAAATTGGAAGGCTGCTTTGCAGGAGGGGATGTTGTTCCTGTCTCGGCTTGGTGATTGTAGGTGCTTGATTCTAGCGTTGTGCTTGTTGGAAGTGTTTGCAGACCACGCGTCCTCGTCTTGCAAACGGCCCAAGGCAGGCAAAAGCAATGGTCACTTGTCCCTTCACGTAAGGGTTACCAAAGCGCTCCATACTCACCTAAGCGCTACTCACCTCTTCGGTACGGAATACCCCACACTCACTTTGCACTGCCGCATCATCCAACCTAAGTAAACCTAAGTAACCTCAAGGAGCTCTTGCTTGAACCGTCTTTTCCTATTGAAACAAATTCCCCTGGAGATGAAAAGCCGCCGGCACATGCCGGCCTTTCTCCGCTCCGAGGGCCAAGGCCGGCGCGAGGAGGCCTCCCCGCGGGCAGTCCATGGTGTCCGGAGAGGCCATGGCTTCCTTTTTCTCTTTGGATGCTGAGGTATTGACCATGCGAAACCTTCATCTCTTGTATACCTCGATGCAACCATGAATCTGTTTTGGATACTGAGGAATGTGGTTTTTAGATACCCTTCATCTTTTTGAGGGTAGCAGGTTTGCTGTGGGCAAGCTTGTGATACTGTGGATGGTTGCGAAATTCGCTTCTCGCACCGTTCAGGAACCCTAATTTCTGATTAGATTCCCCAACGTAAAGCTTCAACCATGGTTTCGAAGGGGTGCGAACCGGATTTCGTCCATCCACGGTAGGAACCAGCCCAAAGTGGTTTTCTCTCGCTCTCTCGCGCTTCAGCTAACAACAACGGCTGGTGGACATGAATCCCCAAAGGGCCCCGCAATGAAAAACCAACGCCCTTCGGCTTGAGACATACCCAGCCCATTGACTTGAAAGCTAGAGCAAAAGGGAGCCCTTTTTCCTTTCTATTATTTTTGTGGGGGGGCGGGGGTATTCCATTCGCGGGGAACCAACGAATCCGGGAATTCGAGGGGAATCGCCACCGAGCTGGGGTTCGCATACGAAGCACGTCTTTGTTGAGACCCGTTGGCCTCGTAGCCCGCGCCCCGAAGCCGGCGAAGCCACCGGCGAAACCCGGGCCCTGCGGAGACGAATCTTTGCTTTCTTTGGCCCCCAAACAAGCTAAATTGGGGCTTTCTTTGGCCCCCATTCATATAATATTAAACGAAAAGGGCGAATTCCTGATGATTGGATTCGCGATCGACCTTTTGGGCTAACTAAGAAGCCCGGTGTTTGCCTCAGGTCGAAAGGATGCGTTTCCATCAGGTCGGGATATGTGTCCGGGGCCTTTGAGGTCCCACCAAAGACCAGCCATGATTTCTTGATGGGTGTCACTCGGGACATCAACATTATCGTTCCACCGAACCTGAAACCTGACCGGCCGGGAGGAGAACGAAGCTAAGATTGGGAAAGCGCCCTGGCTAAATTGACACGATATCCTTGGTAGATACAATTTGAAGCACCTGGGTGTGTAGGCGTCTAACCACACAATGTCTTCAATCGCTTGCTGGCGTCCTTTGCTGGAAGCTGCGCCAGTTAGCGCCCATAAGCTGACCATGGTCCATAACCATCGGCTTAGCCGCCGGTTCGGGTTCAGTCGGTGACAAAACCTATGACGCACGACCTTGATTTTCCACGGCTTCAGATACATATACTTGATCATAGCCAAATGGCCTGATGCATGCTCATCTTCATGCAGGCCCCCTTGAGATGCTTGCCTTGTGCTTGCATCTCACCTCTTTACACATGCAGGGCCATCTGATGCTCGCCTTCAACGAACTTCAGATTCATGACCTCACAAAGCTCTCGAATTCGCTGACCATCCAGGTGTTTCGTCCCCAGGTCAGCTGGGTTGACTCGAGTTCCAATCTTGCCAAGCTTAATGGCTTGCTCCTGCACCTGCTGCTGAAGCCACAGTAGCAGCGCGAAATATGTTTCGCTTTCCCGTGCCCGCGCCCGCTCAGCATTGCTTTCGCAGCACTCGCATCAAAATTCAATACTGCACCATACTCACAGCCTAGGTCTTGCATCGTTGCAATCCCGCCAAGCAATGTCGATCCCGCCTTGATTCCAGCGTAAAATTCCGATTCCCCAGAACTCAAAGCGATGGTGTGTTGCGTTGAGCTGTAGAACTTCAATAAATGAGAACCATGACAAAGAACTCCACAAGATGTTGACTTCCGAGTCTTAGTGCATCCAGCATCACCTGAGTCAGTGTACATCTGCAATGCTGACTGCTCTTCTTGTTGATAAAATTCCCACACCAAGCGCCGATGCCCGCTCAAATACCTTGCCAGCCGCTTCAAGCCGTTCCAATGCCCCTGAGCTGGTCGCTGCATTGCTCTTGCCAACTCCTTCGAAGCATAGTTAATGTCAGGTCGATCCAACGCCAAATAGTTGCATCGCATCACAAGGCTACGAAACCGTGAAGCTTCAGCCGTACTCAACAGTGGCTCCTCCGCAATGTCGCTGTGTACGCCTGGGCTCACAGTGGTCTTCCCGCCTTGCAGACCCAACTCATTCAATACAATCTCAACATGCCTCGGATCAGCTTCAATGGTCGTGGAACGCTCGCCAAAATGCACCAAGCGATTCAACACACTCACGTCCTGTACGTCCGGGCTGTCCGGCCCAAGCAAACCTCCAAACTTCAATTCATATCGCTCTTCTAAACTTGCTTTCAGCCAGAACAAATCATCCTCGAATCCCAATACCGTGATGTCGTCACCATGCAGCGTCACCTTCATGTCTCTCGTCTGATTGCAAAACAAAACTGGTGACCCAATGCCAGGACAGAACCCTGCGGTCGTGAAAAAGTCAGTGATCTCCAACTCCCAGCAAGCCGCTGCATCCCGACATCCGTACATGGCTTTGCTCAAACGTCCGCATTTGCCAGGCCCCAGCCCGGCCTCGTCAGGAAGTCTCACATAAACCAACCTGTAAATCTTTGCATTCCAATGTGCCCTCCTGACATCCAAAAACATCACTTTCTGCGTTCTCCCAAGGTGATCTCGCTTGTTGCCAGTCCTCTGCAAACTCAACAGGATACGTATCGATTCAAGAGGCGGCGTCGCAGCAAAAATCGCCTGTATATGTGATTGCCGCACTTCTTGAATGACCAGCCTGCTTCTGTAGTTTGGACGATCAATGTCCCCCTTGTCCAGGTCGATCCACCGAGATGAGATCGGACCTTTGCCGGTCTGCTGATAGCACTCCGCAAGATCAGTCTCCGTCCAAACATTGTACCTGTAAGCATAATCAATTTCCTCAGCTCGCGCCTCTTGCACCTTGACTGGGTCCAGTGGCTTCCCAGAAACTTCATCAATGAACTCACCCCAGCCATCGTCTGTTGCTAAAGAATCCAGATCCTCCTCCTGATTCGTGGGACCAAAATCCATCGTGAACATAGGCCTGATCAGTTTCAACTGCTTCCGTAACCCACGCAAAATGCTGCGAATAAGGCTGCGTGGATATACTTCACATTGTTTCGCTTTGCCACCAATCAGCGGAATATGCCTATGCCACTTCTTCCCTTCTCGCACAAAATCGAAAATTGTTTCCACCAGCAAACAATCCCTTGGGATATCAAATCTCAGTTGCTCATCTGTTGCATTGTGAACATCACGTAAATCTTGCAGCAAAGCCCCGTGTGTTAAATCCAGTGTAACTCGTCTGCGAACTGATTCCCAAACAGGTCCTTCTCTCCGGGGCAGTTGCCCTTTCCGCACACCCCGTCCAGTTCGTCGCCAGATACCTATTGCATCCGCGTCGTTTTCGCACTGTTTGCTCAGCTCGTCAGCAATGCAAGGGCTGTTTGTCAGATAGCTTGTAGGCTTCTTGGCAAAGCCCACGCCATGCTCATCCTCCAGCGTCATCCCTTGCTCACACATGTGCCCTGTGACTTTCTGGACCTCCGGCTGCTGCTCCACCTCCGCAATGTTTTTTTCATGCCATGAAGACGCACTAGCAGGATGCTCATGCAAAAAGAATTTCTTTCGCTCAATCTGCTTCAAATACAGCTTGCAGCAAAACCTCAAATGTTCTCGTCCTTCTTGCACCTTTCTCAGCATCTCTGCAGGATCACATTTCGTTTGATTCAAAAACTGTATCTGCGAAAATGGCCCGCACGGTGGGCTCCCAATAAGCAAATCTGGTCTCAGGAACTCGATCAACTCCTCCGCTCTCTGCCTGCAATCTTCGTCACAAAAATTCCAGGGCCGCCCAAACTCATCCACCGTAGTCAAATCCAGAGCCACACCACTGCCGATACCCCGTTGGCCCAACTCCGCAGTGACCCGTGGTGGTGAATAGAGCTCGGCCACAATCGGATTCTGCAGGTCGTATGCTCTCTTGACTGAAATCGCACCTATTTGCAGAAGGATCCGCCGGTCTTCGGTGTCTTCCTCCAACATCAGCTTGCTGTCTCACATACACTCGCTTCTCGCACAGCGTCCACAAACGCTCCACGTTGTCCTTGACAAAGCACCTGAAGTGAACCCATCTCCATGTTGGACTCCTCCACTGCTTCTGAAACCTCATTCTCCATCTGTACATCTGCTGCTGCTGATGCTGCTGCTGGTGCCGACCTCGATGACGAAGACGGGCCCCCTTGACCCGAAACCTCCGCCATTACCGCCGCGTTTCCTCCACCAAGCACTGCATCAACTACATCGTCTGCCTCTACCTGTCTCTTCATCTTCTCCTTATCCGGCTTCAACTCCTCGGCTGCTGCTCTCTTCTTCGCCTCTTCTTTCTCATGCACCGCCACCATATACTTCTCCTCTCGTGCGCGCACCTTCTCAACTCTCTTCTTACCTTCCTCTGTCTTGCACATCTCACCTGAGATCCTCTCCTTGCATGCACGGCTATGTTGCTTGTGAGATAGACCGTGCTTGGCAGCTTCACAACCGTCGCAGCCCTCCGTGTATCCATAGGCCTCAAGCTCCACATCTCTCCGGATGTAGATGCCTCGAGGAACATACTTCCTCTTTCAGCTCGTCTCCATCACCTGCACCAACATCGGGAACCTCGATCTCGATATCTGCAGGTCAAAAGTTTCTCATGTCCGCTTGCAAGCCAATCCGTGGTTTCAACTGCCAAGGCAATCCGACGAACTGCTCCACCATCTCTTTCTGCCACTTCTCTTCATCCGGCCGTCTCTTGATCGTCCAAGTGCGGACCACGCCGTCCGGCGTGCCAATCCACCTCATTCCCGATCCTTCTTGGATACCCAGAAAGATCCCCGGCTCAAACTTCGCGTCCAACTTGCTCGCATCCCTTTCACCCTTCACCGGCTCGTAAAAGACACACTCACCAAATTCAGGAAGCGCAATCCTCCACCGTTTCCCGGTCGACCTTTCATGGCCCGTAAAACCGTCTGGCCCCCTTTGAAACCTGGACAGAAGCGTTCCACAGTAATCGACCAACCAGCAAAGTATAGGATGCCTCGGCGAAAACCTCATCTGATACCGCGACTCCAAGCAGCTCTTCAAAGTCCGAGCTTGTCCTTGTAATCGCCCAACTGCAGACTCTATAGGCCCATTGGTCTGCGATTCACCTTTCACCGCATCTTCACACCCAACTCCAGGAACACGAAGTTGCACCGCATTTCTCAGAGCAACTAATGACCGCTCCGTGTCCGACTTGAACACGGCGAGGTTGGCATCTGTACGACCCAGATATTTCACCAGCTTCGTTACAACTGCCACATTGTACTGGTGCTCCACACCCTTGCTTGGTAATGCCACTGAGAACATCCTCATCGACGGCTCATCCAAAATTGCCAGAAGTGGTAACGAATTGAATGCTGTAAAGATCTACCTTTACCTCTCGTGCAGTGGGGGCACCATGCCCGATAAGGAACATGACTGATGTAGTGTTGCCGTACTTCTTCTGCGCTTGGCTTGATGGGCGTCTTTTGTCCCAGCCGAACCAAGTCCTCCTCAAATTCCTCATGCATTCCACCTCCATCACCGGGAAACTCATCTGCTGCATCACCCAATTCTGCAAGATGTAACAACAGATCTTCACCATCGTCATCACCTCGCTCAGTGGGTTGATACAAATCACTCCGATTGTCTTCTTCATCGTCTCGGCCCTCTGCAGATAACTGTCCACCGCCCTCGGCTTGCACTGCACAAATATTTGCACCGGGACTTACAGCACTGCTGGGCTCACCTCTTCTCACATGCTCTCGGCTTCCGCCCGACCTGCCTGCCCGCCAAAACCCGCGTCTTGACCATCCACCACCTTCAGCCGTTGCACATAGACACCCTCACGCTGATACAGCCTCATGCGCTCACCCGTCACCACATCCTCAATGTAGCTCTCCTTGTCTGCTGCCTCGAGCACAATACGGTGTCCTTTGTTCGCCACCTGAGCTGCTGACATCAAAGGCTTGTGAACCTCCGCCACGGAAAACTGCGTGGTCCGAATCTGCTCCTCCTCCGTAATCACCAGTGGGCTCACCTTCCACAGCCCAGGAACCATCTCACCATTGGCTGAAAGAAAATTCATACCTGGGTCCGGCGCCTCTTGCTCGTTCTCCGGAAAAGCATTTGCAGGACAAACGGATGCCGCCGCACCACTATCCAGAGTGACCAGAATATCACGCGTCCCTACATACTCATCACCATAGGCAGATGTCGCGGTAGTCCCCCAATTGCCCTGATTGCACCACCTCCTAGAAAGCGCGCACAAATGTTTGACCACCAAACTGCCCATCTGCACCGGGTTGCCACTCGCTCGCGCTGATCCTGTGCCTGCGCTGCGAACTGATGCCGGAGACACAGGTGATGTGGGAGCTGTCGAAGTCGGTGCTGCAGTTGTCATACGTTGGAACTCTTCTGCAGCTGCTTTGGCATATGCTGACTGTAACTGGGAAAGACGGGGGTCTTGCTTCTGCTCCACCGCATTCAAACCTTTGGGCTTTGACCAGCACTGATCCTTGAAATGCCCCGGTTTCCCACAGTTGTGGCAAACCGCATCTTTCCCCTTTTTCCCAGCACCTTTGGATTTGCCAAAGTCTTTTCCACCTCCTTTGAATTTCCCCTTTTTGCCATGATCTTTGCCTCCCTTACCTTTGTCTCCTCCACCGTTCTTGCCCTTGCCCTTGCCCTTGCAGTCCTTCATCAAATGCGGACCGCCACACAAAAAGCATCCTCCGCCTTTCCCCACACCGACAGATCCGATGTCCATGGCTGCTTGTGCAACCGGCGCCACCTGATCCAAATATGAGAACACCTCCTCCCTGAGCTCTATGATGCGTAGCGCCCAGCATTGAGTTGAAGATGCTCTCGCAGTTTGTGGGGGCTCATGTGAACAAGCGCTGCCATTTTCATAGCATCCGAAACTCGTTCAGCTCCTGGCCGGCTCTCATAGTCCACGATCCTATTCTCCCACGCCACAATTTCAGCTGCCAGCTTGTCCAGTGAGATGCCCTCTTGCGGGTTGGTGATCTTGATCAACTGAGCTCTCTGCCGTCCAATCGTCACCGGGTTGAATCTCACCTGCAAAAGTCTGAAAGCTTCAAATCCGTTCGGTCGCCTTGCTTGCCGGACCAAACTCCTTGCTTCGCCCGATGTGTACGTAGAAAGAATAGCATACACGTTCGTGTTGGCATACTCCAACAGCAGTTGATCCATGTGCTCGTAGAGGGTCTTGATGCTGTTGAGGTCCATGCTCACCTTGGGTTGCTTGTGAACAATATCTTCCAGCACCTCGTAAACACCCGGCATGCTGCTGTCGCACAGTGTAATAACCGAATCTGTCCAATCCTGAAATGACACCTTGCTATCCTGCGGGTTGAAAATTGCTGGTTTCCCCAACGAACGACCGTCTACCGCTCCCTGCTGAATCGCATATGCCACAGCCGGACTCATCGACGCGCCCGTGCTGCCTCCTCCGATATTGTACACCCTGGGCCCACCTCCAACCGGCCCCGAAAAAGGCGGTGCTGGACGCACCGTACCTTGCCCAGCTGTACCATCTGCTTGTGCTGTCGGACTCCCCCTCGAATCTCCGGATGCCGCCCGGCCCTGTGCTGAACCTGCCCCAGCGCTTGCACTTGCAAATACCTGGCCAACCCGGTTCTGCGTGTCTGCAAGTGATGCACCCATATGCTGAAGCTGTGTCTGTGTAGCCTGATGCGCCTGAATCATCTGTGTCAGCTGATCTTGTTGCTGCTGCTGTTCACGCGCAAAACCCGACTGCACCTGTTGTACCACCTCAGCCACCACCTGCTCCGTCACTTGCTGTGTGACATGAACTGCCGCTCCCGTCCCCTGCGCTGCTTGTCCCAGATCATCTAAACGCTGCCGCTGATTCCCTTGCTCCTGTGCAATTTGCTGCAGCATCGCCGCGATCTGAGCCATGTCCGGTGCGCCCAACTGGCCTGACCCATCGCCGGTACCTGACATCATATACCAATCGAAGATCACCGCCAGAAGCACAACCAAAATTGCAAAGATGCCTGCTTGCCAACTGCAGACCCTGGCCGACACCTGTTTGATGCCCAAATTCCGGTGTCCCAGGATGATCACCTCTGCAGATTGCTCGCGCAGGAAGGCCTTGCCTCTCGCAGATGCAGAACGGGAGCCGGCACCAGATGCCAGCTCCGCTACCATGACAAAACCTATGACGCACGACCTTGATTTTCCACGGCTTCAGATACATATACTTGATCATAGCCAAATGGCCTGATGCATGCTCATCTTCATGCAGTCGGCCTTCTCCCGGCGAGCAACACTGAAACTGGTTTTCACAAGTTTCAAATGAACAACTAAATAGCTTCCAATAAAATCCAGTTGTTTACCAAGGATGCGCCGGAGTATGCCGGAGTCGCCATGAAGCATTGTCTAACCCCAACAAGCCGGGTACTCCATAGGATCCTTGGACACGTAAATTAAAATCAAGGGCACATCAGTTCAAATGGGTTGTCAACCCTTGGAGGGTGCAGGAAACCATGGACAAATATGGCAACGAGGGTGTCCCCCTTCCCATACTTGCAACACGGGCCTACATCCTTACCTTATAACCTACTGCCCGTTTTGGGTACGGGAATCACAGCCGAGGGAATGGCCGAGTCGGCCCGTGTTGAGTCGAACTTCGAGTGGGGAAGCTTCAGGATTTGCTTTTGGAGCGTTTCTCTGCCAACTATCCACCCGGGCCCTGATTGATTTTGGGCCCTCAACGTGGGTTGTTTTTGAGGGCCCTTGAGGAATTGGTCAGGGTTCTTCATTGGGCGCAGGGTGCATGGGGAATGACCCTTGGGCAACTTTGTTGGGGAGGGCCTTGGTTCATCACACCCAATTCCAAGAATTGACCATCCGATCGAAAAGCCACTCGTTGTAGAGAATTAACCTTTGTGGAGTGCCTCTCCCCGCAACTTGCTGGCTTCCAATCTGAAGGGCTTGGCAGCCTCTCTTGGGTGAATGAGGCTTGACCCCGAAAGCCCCCCTTAAGGCATGTACAACACCATTTGAGCAAGTCCGTCCAAAATCGGGAATTCGGACCTCCACACCCCATCCATCCCAATAAAAAACGACGGGTTCCCCATTGCTTTCCCTTGAACCAACCCCCAAGAGACTGGCATTACTAGGTCCTCCAGTAGAGAGATTAGAATAAGGGTACCCTTTTTTCTGTAGTCTATTTTAGTAGGGGAACCCTCCCAACCAAAAAAAGAAACGGTAAAAGGGCACCTAGCTGGGGGACCTAGCTTAAGCAAACCACACGCTCGCTAAACAAATCACCGACCAAAGGCGCAAAGCTGGCCCCGGGGAGAGTAGCGACCCGCTGGGCGCGCGCGGAAGCGATGCCCAGGCCTGAGATGGGCGCCCACCCTGAATACGAGAGACCCTTAAAAGCCCGCACACGCTAAACAAATGCGTGGTCAAGGGGAAACATAAACCTGTGACAAACTTATTTTCTAGTTGAGAAGGAAAATTAAGGAAACCTAAAAAGGCAAAAGAAGTGAACTAAGCTAAGTCCGGCGATGTAAAAATGAAAGGAACACAGCTGCTGTTTGATCCGCTTGACAAGGATTGTTAAGAACCTTGGGGGCAGTCACATTTCTCCAGGGTTATTCAACCCGAACTCCATGGGACGGGTAGACACCTGGCCCCCAGGGATATTTTCTGCAACATCTTCGAACCACGTGCGTTGTAAACATCCTTCTTGGCCATGGGTACACAGTTGTTGTTCATTTGTGGTCTCTTCTTTTTTAAAGCAGACCGACCAGTCATCCCGGGCGTTTCGGACACCATGGCGTTGACCCCTCAAGTGGAGGCCGCGCACTGCGCATTGCCTCTCCAGTAGAAGGAACCAAAGAACCACACAACTGTGCATACCACCTCCTAACAACGTCCTAACCACGCTACCAATCCGAACCACCAAATAGAGGAAAGCCGAACAAACTCATTTTGGATGGTTGGGCCTTTTCTGGTAGGTTTTGAAGACCACCAGTTGATTTGGGCGGCGGGGGTTCCCCCCAAAGACACACATGTGCTAAGACTGGTAAGGTCCAGCAACCCAACAAAGCGCAAGTTTTGCCTCGTTCCCTTCAGAAGGAGAACAGTTACTTGCTTGACGTTGGAAGGGGAGCAAAACAATATTTTTTAGCAGTTAAGTGGGGATTTCCCACGAAACCACAATAAGCAAAAATGTAAAATGTTTCCCAACGACAACCATGAACAGGTGGCCCATTCCAAACACCCAGGCTTCCCAAACAGGTAGGCTGAGTACTTTCCCCGAGGCCCACATCCCAAACATCCACTATGTTTTTCCTGATGAGTTCACCCTACTAGTGGCAACTGGAAGTTCCACACTTTGCAAGCCCGTTTCTTGGTTGCAGTGGTTGATCCAAATGTCCATCCTCCACCGTTCTTGGGAGAAAGTAAATGGCTCAACCTCACCATTTGAGTGTCGCCAGCCTTCCCACCGCCCACCTACAAACATCAAAGGGTCCCCAATTCAAACTAATGCCCAACTAGGTTCATCCATCCCAGCGGGTTTTCAAGTCCGATCTCTCCGCTTCTCGTGCCTGCAGCTTCCCCAGCTGCGGCTTCCATGGCAGCATGGCTGCCACGAGGGAGGCTCGGGACTTCTTCTGGGCTGGGGTGGGGTGGGGTGGGGTGGGGTGGGGTGGGGTGGGGTGGGGTGGGGTGGGGTGGGGGGGCACACTGGTTTGTAGTGATTGAGATTCATGTATAAGCCTGCTTCTTGCTGCAATGCCGTGCTTCAAACGAAGACTTGCCGCTGGAACTCTGTCACCCTGACCATTATTATGTAATCGGCCTTTTGACTTTGACCGGATTCCTCATTTGGACGGCTCCAAGTTTGGCACAAACCTCGACTGCCGGGCAGTCAGCCAGGACTTGATCAACCGTGCCGCATGGAGAAACACCTGCTTGTGTGCACCAGTCCAGAAGAGGCCAGCACGGGCTCAAACTGTCAAATTAGCATATCAACGATTTTGGTTCACCAGGAAAGGATTCAACCGGTGAATCCTGCGGAAAGGCGAATCAGTCAAACGTGGCCAAGTGACAAAACCTGGAAAAATGGTCAGGCTGATTCGCGTTGGGAACACTGGTCACCCACATCTTCCTCCAGGAGCTCCCCCTTCTGACACAGCCCTTCTAAGGCTCCTTGACCTTCGGTAGAGATCATTTTTAGCCGCACCACAACAAAAACATGACCTTCGGTTGATCATTTTTACCACCACAAAAAAACAAAAAAAAAACATGTTCAGGGTGGATTCCGCCACAGAACAGAGTTTATGAAGCAAGCCATGTGGGCCCTAACTTTGGGCGCCCCTTGGGCCAAAGGCTGCGTGAGAGCGAATCACTCTAGGGAAAACGCCTAGAAAACGCACGTGGGGCCGTCAACACAGCACCATCCTGTTTTCAATTCGGTGGTCAACAGCTCACTTCCCCAGTTTGGAACTAATCAATGGTGATTCCTTTTAGGGGGCCATGAAAAAAACACCTGTGACACACAAAAGCTAAACTCAGTTCTTCAGCTTGGGCCTGGGTTGAACCAGTGATCACCCTTTTGGGGCCCATGAGGAAACATCAAAAAAAGGGATGAAACCAAAAGGTCGAGAGACTCGAGAGACAGGTCTGGAGCCTCCGGACCTCGATCCTTCGGATGTCTGATGTCTGATGTGACCAAAGTCCCTGCTGGATTTCCTGTATAGAATCCTGGAGCTGGTGGAACTTCGCGAGCAAATGAGCCAACATCTGACCAAAGCCCCTCCCGCAAATGGACACCAAATACGGGAACTCATCTCCGATGGAGTGGAGTGGCTAGAAACAGTGTCTAGGACTTGTTTACCAGGAACTCAGGGAGGGAATGTCTATAAGACATTTGCCCAACTCCGACCAAAAAGCAAGGATGTCCTATACAAACCCGGGTTCCCCATTGAAACACCCAATGAATACAAGTCAATGTCTCCTTCACCTAGCAACAGGTCCTGAAACCGGGACACACACACACACACCAAATGGAGCACAGGCTGTCTGTATCATTGAACTTGCTGAATGTTCAATTCTAAACCTAGGATTTCAACATGGTCTTCCTTCATGAGTAGCCAAGGGCAAAGATGTCTCCGATGGCCACAAACGTCCCTTGAGCCCAGGAGCCCTTCCGCCGAAAAAGGCCCCGGGGCCCGGACCCTTCCGCGGCAAGGGCAGGCCCTCTGAGGCGAGCGACAGGAAGGCGAGAGCCTCATGGGGCGAGAAAACCAACCGAAACCAACCGAAACCAACCAAGCAAACAAGCAAACAAGGAACCAACCAGCCAACCAACCAGCCAAACAAACAAGCAACCGGCCAGTCAGCCAGCCAACCATCAACCAGCCAACCGACCAGACCACCAAACAAGCAAAGCCGCACAGACACAACTCAACAAGCAAACAATTTCAACATCGGAAAGCTCTGGCGACAGCGCAGAGGAGCTCAGTCCAACCAACGAAGCACTCCCTGTGTCAGGATTGGGTAATTTCCGCGCCTGTTGCCTTCCTTAGATGTGGAACGTTTCTCAGGCTCCCTCGCCGAAATCAAACCCTGATTCTCCGTAGCCAACCAAACAAATCAAAGACACAACCAACCAACCAACCAACCAACCAACCAACCAACCAACCAACCAACCACAAGGGGTTGCCTTTCATGGATCCCACGTGGTATTCGCCGAGGCCTCGTAGCCATCCGCGAGCTCCTTCCGCAGGTCCAACAAAACCCGCCTGTCAGCTTCCAATAGGCTTGGGTGCGCTCGGCGCGAAGCAGGGCGACAGGGGGCCGGGCAAATTCCCCAAAAAACAACGCGCAGAATTTCAGCACCCAAGCTGCAATAGAGCGCAGAAACTGAAAAACTAGTTTTTGTTTCAGATTTTCAGCGCCCAAGCTGCAATAGGTTGGTGGAAGTACTTCCCGGGTGCTTCCCCAACTGTGACGCATTCCCTTTAAGAAAGGAGCAGTCGCCATGTCATACTACCCCTCAGTCCAAGGTGCGATGGTGCAAACCTTCGAACCCCTTACTCAGGTTGCCGTGGAAGGCAAGTTCTGCAAAATGCAAGATGGGTCCTTCTGGGCCCTCAATCCTCATGCCCCTTGCATATGGTATGTTCTCACCAACTTCTTGGCCCACATCTGAGGCACAGGAAATTGTATCTTCGAGGTCCGCATCATGCTTCGTCTACCCTAAAACGTAACGCAGTTGCTCAAAGGCCGGAAAAAGGTTAACCATTGGGGGCCAATAACAATGGCTGCCAAAAAGAGGACACCTTCTTGGTCATTTCAGAACGATTCGCTGTCGGAAAGTGAGACCTACATCTCCTTCCGGGGTTCCGCGTGACACGTTCGAAGAACTGCAACACATTGCCACCTACCCACAAAAGCACCTAAGCAAACCTACACATAAACCTAGCCATGGAGACCCAAGCAACAACCATGAACATGCAGAGTTGCTCCATTCTTCAAAGAAACATCGCCTTCGAAGGCCTCTGCATCAAAGCCTCATGTTGTAGAAGAAACATTCAAATGCACTCCTACATTCCTCGCGACATGATACGCGTGTTTCAGTTCTATGTACATCGGCGAACCCTGAGAAGACCAAACGAAACCCACCGACACCCGGCCTGCTGCTTTGCGTCAGGCCTCCGATGCGGGAATCCGCTTCTTGGGAAAAGGAAGGCAACCACCCTAAGGGTGCTAAAGACTTTTTGGGCTCTCAAAATGGTTGAGGGCTCTTGAGGAAGTTGCCAGGGCCCAGGGGTGTGCATTGGAGAGTCATGACCCTTAGGGCAGCCGAAGCTCTTCCTGAGTTGCCTAAAATCCTGAGTCCAAACTTTGCCTATGATTTCCCGCAAACAAGTCGCTCAAGTCCAGCTCAGGCAGTGGCTATGGACCTGAAACCTGAATGAGTTTTGTTTTGGCAACAGCCCGCCACCGTGATTTCAGCCAAATATGCGTCAAAATAGGGGGGACTCAACATCAAACTGTGGCCGTCCTCTGTGGGTTTCTCAAAAGATCAACCTAAAACGGGCATGGAAGCACAAGACCATATTGGAAGAAGCGGATTTGGCCCAAATCCGTCAGCATCTCTGGCGGGACTGTCAGATCTGCCAGATCACGTGTTGAGGCCGCAAACGCAAGCGTTTGGATCCAGTGAATTGGCGCATGGGCAAATGTCTTGACTTAACAGAGGCGTTTCCTATGAGGCCGCCCCGTAGCAACCATCAACATGGGTTTGTGTGTGTGTGTGTGTGTTTGCTGTGTTTGCTTGTGGGTTGGGCGTACTGGGACTGAGCCCTTTTTGACTGTGGGGTATCAACACGGCCAGCCCCGGTTGAAGGTAACCCGAATTATATCTACATTCGGCGTCCAAACAAACGACCTGGGCGTCCCTGCGTGGTTCCGAAGGCAGAGACATCGCCTGGCGACTATCCCTTCGGTTCTTGGCAGAAATGGAAGAGAAAAAGAACCTAGACAAACACAAAAAGAAAACTAAAGCAACTACTTCATTGGTGTTAAACCAAGGATCTGCCCCTGGCAACCAAAGGGACCCTTTTTGGGTTGACAACTTTTGTGTGGGGAAGCCATGACACTGAAATAACAGAGCAATGGCCTTCTCTATGCGTCATCTGGCTGTGGCTCGAAAACCGGGACCAAAATGGCACATTGGATGCAAAAAAAAGCAAGGACCAACACCCATATGATATATCAAAACCAAGGTTTCTTTGATTTTGGTAAAACAAGGCTGTGGCTCAACAAAATGTACCAAAATGGCACCTTGGTAAATGAAACCAAAGACTAAAACCTGCGCCACCCTAGGTCTTTCATTTTGAGCCACACCCATCTCGTCTTTTCAGCGTTTCGGTCGTGGCGATTCGCTTCGCGTCATGTCGCGCCTCTCTGCTGCGGGCCAAGTCTTCCTCCAGTGCTTGGTTCTCCTCCATCAGGCGCTGCACCTCGCAGAGTTCCAGCCTTTCACCAGTTGACTTCCGATACATCCAGAGCGAAATCAGTCGTTCACCTGATAGAAATGGAAACGGGCTATCTTAGTCAGTTTTTCTAGGGTCCTCAGGATTGATCCGCATATTCTTTGATAGAACATGACTTACTTGGTTTGCCACACCGCCCCATGCCATCGCTTTAGATCCTCAAAGTATGCCATCAAAAGAATGTTATTTGCAGCTCTAACTAAAGTAGGGGACTGGGTGTTAACAGGGTGCAACACAGGGGGTTTGGAGAAGTAGCAACTTACCCACCCACGGTTTCTTCTTGGGCAAATTCAGACACATATTGGCTATTGAGCACCCAGAACAAAAACCGCCTGGATAACATCCTGCACCAGTTCGGATGGACAAGCCCAATAAACACTTGGATAAACCACCTACCAACTGGCAGAAGTGGATTTGGTCCATCATGTACTAGGTCCTCCAGTAGAGAGGTTAGAATAAGGGTACCCTTTTATCAGTCGTCTATTTTAGTAGGGGAACCCTCCCAACCAAAAAAGGGGTTAAGAAGGGCACTACTGGTGAAAAATAACATAATTTCCAGCAGTGAAATCGATTCCCTTTAAAACCAAACAGAAAAGTAACAAAAACTATCCGAATCCCAAGCAAAATGGAAGTTCATCATGTACCTCCCCACGTTCACGTCCCCCCACCTGCCGCTCGAGCTCTGGTAGCCCCAGCTCCGACTCCGACGCCACGTCGGAGTTGGAGGCCTCCGCCTGGATGCGGCGGCTCAGGTCCTGGCGCGGAGGACCAAGGGGTCGGTCTGCGTCCCACGCACATGGCCATGGGTCAAAACTCAAATCGGTTAGCCCCCGGTGAACATCCCAGTATCCACTACAATAGGTTCTAAAATGGGTGGTGAATTCAATCCCAAAATGGTACATTCCTTCAAAACCAACCGGCCATGCCTCCAAAAACCAAATCACTTGCTAGCCTTCGGGGAGGGGGGGGCCCGGGGGGGGCAGCTTCTTGGCCCGAGCCTCGAACCTCCCAGAAAACTCCACTCCACTCGAGGCATCATCAAAACCCGGTACTAGAATGGTACGGCGGCCGGAGCGATTTTTCTGGTTGGGGCGGTCCCTTACCTCAGTTGCCCAAAGGACCCGGAAACAACATGTTAACCTTTTGGGACAAGTATTAAACATGGACCAAAATGGGGAAACCAAAAGGTCAAAAGGTCGATTCGCTTTGGACCACTGACTGAGTGTTACTACCCTCCAGTTGCGGCGGGTTTTGATTGTGGCTTCAGTTCTTGGTCGCTGCAACGACCCCCCGCAAGAAAGTTCCACTTTTGGGAAGGGGCCAGTGGAAAACCCCTGGATTTCCAAAAAAAAAAGGAGGCTAAAGTCTAAAGATCCAACCCGATAGCAGTTCAGAGTTCGGTTCTCCTCGATCCTCTCCAGGAGCTTCTGCAGCGCCGGCTCCTCCTCGAAGCCGCCCGTCGCCTCCACGCCGCCCGCAAGCCTCGGATACGGGCGACGGAACCAACCCCCCGCTTCAACCGGGGGGTCGTTTTGCCACCTGTGGTGAGAAAATGGGCGACCCAGGAATGCTTCACAAGAAAGTCGATCATTTTTCCAAAGGTGGCAGAAAGACCCCCCCCCTGCCGTTCAACGGCGTGTGCCTAGGGGTCCTTTTTGGGGAAAATAGACGGCCCTGCTAGTTGATTGAACCCTGGTAGTCGAAACTTGGCGGGCAAAAAGGACCCCAGCTAAAAAAATGATGTATTTGTGGCCTGGTGGAAAAACAAAGGGAACCCCCTTTTAAAAGCAAAATCATAAAAAAAAGACTAATTGTGCTTTTTGATTTTTTGGCAGCCTTTTCACCTTGGCTGAAAGGGAAACCAAGGACCACCGGTCGAAATCTCCAGTTTTGAGACATACTGTGCCTGGCATGGTTGTATTTTGATTCAACAACTCTTAGCTCGTCTCAGAATGCCAGGGTCTAGTTCCAGATGATCAAACACACTTTAGGCCAAACCCTGGTTTAGAGGGACTCGGCTGCCGAGTGTCCACCAAAAACAAGAGCGAAATACATGATCCGCTTCTGCTCAATGACCTAATTTGGTGGGAATGCCTAGCATATGCACCAACAACCGCAAAAAGGCCAAGGCTTCTGGGCGCAAGGGCTCCAGTTTGCTGGCTGCGCTTTCGCCAATTTGTTCCACCACAACTCCGGGCCCCGGAGCCCCATCTCCTCACTTGTAGATTGGCCAAGGAAAGTCCAAACTTGGTCTATACCACTAAGCAAGTCTTCCCAAAAAGTTTAAAGTGCAGGAACTTAAGGAGATTTCAGGAGTAAGTCCCGGTCGCTTGGCGTTTATGCGGCCGCAGGGGCTTCCCCGTGGTGGTCTGTGCCAAGGTCTCGAAGAGACGGGCCTCTGCCCCGGCCCAGTCCTGGCCGGAACCAGGCAATTTGTGACGCTAGAGACGCCCAGTCGCCAGGACAAACAAAGGGCACGCGCCGTCTTGGTCGTTGGTTTTGGACTGGGCCAGCCCATTCAAAGCGCCACTGGGTCGACATTTCAGGTTGCCTTCAAGTCACCATGTGCAAGCAAAGCCCTACGATTTTATGCAGCCCTCGGTTCATAAACCTCTGATTCCAAAGGCATGTTGCCCCATCAAGTGCGAGTCACGACATATTCAGAAGGGCTTGCGAGGTTTAGTCGGACCCCGCCGGACCCCGCGTCTGTCAGCAACAACTAGACCCTTGCCAGGTCCTCCAGTAGAGAGGTTAGAATAAGGGTACCCTTCTTTCTGCAATCTATTTTAGTAGGGGCTTGCCCTCCCAACCAAAAAAGCCAACAAAGCTACCGCGTTTTCCGAAAAGACCAGGAAAACGAGTCCAACCGTGCCACTGAACAAAACTTTTGCGGACTTGTGCTGGCTGATGCCCGAGCAAAAGGCGGAGGGCTATTTTGTTCAGGGAATTCAGCCCTCAGTTGCCCAGTTTGGACTCAGAAATAAAATTAGGAGTTTCACTTTTGGGGCCGTGGCTAAAAACATAGTTGCCGAAACCAATGATTCTAGAAGCTGAATCAAGATTCGGATCCGTAACTACAGGACCTTTATCATTCTAGGGCCACCTTTCCCACTCTGTCCGTCCTTCTTTCTAGATCGACTCCAGAAGCCTGATCCAGTTTTTTGAGAAAAGAACATCATTGTTGAAAACAACGGAGGAATCATCCCCTATGGCGAGCTCGCTCGCTATAAAAAGAAATGGCGCCCCACCCATCACCCCGCGCCTCCGAAGACTCATGCGGCGACGCGGCGCCGGAGGCGTCGGTGGCAGTGCTGCCCCCGGCGTCGCTGGAAAGGGCCTCCTGCGCTGTGCGTGCTTTCCTTCAGATAACCCCACCTTGGAGCTCACTTGCCCAGCTTGGACCTATTTTTTTTTCTCTAAAAATGACCAAGGGGGGGAAACCAAAGGTCCACATGTCGATTCACTTTGGGCAAGTGAGGTTTGGTGTTCTTTTCAAAGTGGTGCTTTTACAGCCGCAACCGAAAACTTTGGGGGATTGACATAAGTTTTTAGTGCGGAAATCCAAAAAACAAAAAACGAAGAGAGATGCGGCATCGAAGAGAAGGTCTCCTTTTGGATCATTTATTTCTTCCGTAAAACCTGGCTAAGTCAATCTCAGTTCCGACATAGCACTTGCTACCACTGAAATGGTCCTCCTGGCGCCTCTTGGCAAATATCGCTGGGAAAGTTCAGAGGGAAACCCAAACAACTTTTTATTGGTCGATCTCCTTCGAGGTTGACGCAGTTCCTTCTGTTTTCTGGAGAGCAAAAGGTCAATTCAACCTCAACTTGCTTCGCTCGCCAAACGATTTGGTCGAGTCGCTTTTTTCTCCGGTGAGCAGGTCCGGCTCAGCTTTCGCCCAAGTAAAACTATGATCTTCAACGCTCGCTTATCTTCAGCAATACAGTATTTGAAATTATTTGAAATGTTAGAATATTGATTGACAAGAGGCCCAGTTTTGTGCTTTGTTGATTTTTATTCTTCTCGCGCACGACTCCACATGTTTCTTTCGGTCCACCTCAAGCCGGGATTAAGAACCCCCGCCCCCCCCCCCCCCCCGCCCCGGTTTTGCGTGGGTGACATGCACCTATGAGTACGGACTGGTCTTTATCCGTGCAGTTCCCATGACCCATCGGGGGAAAACTGCTCGATCTGTGGCCTCGGTCGGTTCCGAGCCAAGGCCCTCGGTTTTGGCCATTCGTGGCGGACTTGGAAAACACGAGCTCCCGTGTTAGACCCAGACCGGGCTAGCACCAAGTCCTCCAGAGCGTCGGCGCAGGTTTGGGCAAGCTCCGGGATCACAGAGGCCAAGATGTCCTGAAACCGGCGCCGTCTGAATTTTGGGAAGCTGTGCAAGGGTGTTTCTTGGAAGGTGCCCGTTTTTGAGGCTTGAGGGGAACAGGGCACCTCCTTTTGACACATACACCAAAAAAGGGGCGAATAGGCCAGCAACCCCTCTAGGAGAGCTTTGGTTTCTAGAAACCCCCTTACTCTGTATGAGTATACATGTGGCTCTACTTCGTTTTATCCTACTTGCCCACCCGAGTTTGGTTTCAAGTGGCTACACTCGGTCGGTCCGGATCACTTTTTTTTTTGGAAGGATGACACATAGCAGCTTCAGCTTCATGGCTAAGGGATGTGCCCGAAAGGGCGCAAATGTTTGGGACATGTGACTCCTGCAAAAGAAGCCCCAAGCACCCTTTCATAACTCCCGGAACAGCAGAAGCGAACTGCAAAGCGGCCCGGGCTAGAAACCCATTCCGAGTGGGTCCGGAGTTCCGAAGCCACCTTGCAACAAGGCTTGAAAACGTGCAGAATCCACCGAACTGAAAAAAGGCAATTGCGCTTCTCGGCTAGACATAGACAGACCACGGAAATCAAGAAAAGCCGCAGAAAACAGACAGTTCATTGGGCTCTAACACAGGAGTTCTAGGATGCTACACACACAAACTAGGCGCAAGCGGTCAGAGACCACTCATGAGAACCTGCGCAAAGCGGGGATCCCCTGAAGAATGCAAGACCCACCATGCGCAAAGCTTAAACCAAATCACCAGGGTATCTCTCTCATGGATTGGTACCCATGTTTTGGTGCTACTGGAACAAACCACAGGAAAACAACGACTTGTTTGCCCAACCCCCCGTTTCTTGACACATGCACATACCTGTGTGTGTGTGCCTTTGACGGTATATACCCGTTTTTGCTTCAGTGTAAACTTGTACTTTGACCGCGGCTTCAACCCTCCCCGATTGCGAGCCCGCCCCCGCCTCCTCGTCCCAACTCAGGCGCCGAAGCCCTGAGCGCAAATCCGCTGCCGCCTCTGGCGACGGGCGACTCACTCCGTGCTTCTGGGTGTGTGTAGTTGCGACCAGTCATGTCTTTTCTCACTTCCTGGGTTGATGGGCCCAAAGTCCAAAGGTTGAACTTGCCACTGAAATGTCTGTCCCAAAAAGCTGAAGTCCATGAACTCAGGAAGTGCGTTTTTAACTATATCACTGTTTGTTTGTGTTTTTGGCCGGGGTATCTGCTGCCTCAGGCAGATAGGGGATCTCGAATTTGCTTGGGAGGCACTGGTGATAAGGGGTGGGTAACCCAGTTACTCAAGGGGAACCAACGCCTTTCCGGCAGCTTTGAAAGTGGTGCCTTTGGTCCTTTTCCGCTGCAACAAGTCCAAACCAATCATTTGAGACCCTATTCTTATGTTTGTTTTCTGGCAAAGCTAATTTGTAGCAGGAAAAATATGACGAAACAAACCCCCCTCAGCCCACCAAATGGATTTGGAGGGCGGCATGGAAAAGGGAATTGGAGGACCATGAAGGAAACGAGGGCAGGTTCTTTAACCTCCCGCCCAAACTCAAGATTCAAAAGCTAGGATTAGGCTTCGCGTCTACGTTGGGTGAACGAATCATTCCTTCCATTTGCTTCAGCCCCCTGGAAAAAAACATGTCCAGTAGTGATAGATTTCCTCTAAAGCCAACACGGGGGAAAAAAGGGTGAAAAATAAATATTCCTTTCCGCAAATGGATGAAATTCCGTTGGTGTCTGAATGGTGCGAGAAGCAAATGGATTTCGCGAAACCATCCTACTGTGAGGGCAGTCCGCCTGCGCCATGCTGCTCTTCAGCCCGGCCAGCTCTTGTCGCGCCGCTTGCTCCTCCTCGGAGAGCAAGCGGCAAGGCGCTCGCCTTTCACGGGGAGAGGTGGCTCTAGAAGATGGGTCCGGACGCGCTTGGGCTTTTGGTGGATTCCGTAGTTTTCGTCTCTCTGGTCCTTGTTTGGTACCTTTTTCAAGACTGATTGAATAATTCCATGGAACCTGCAGGCTCGTGAAAGACAATCAATGCTCTTGTGGTGGGATCCAATGTGAGCCATGTTCCCAGGGTTGCTTGCCAACTTTCTGACAGAGAAGAATGGGGAGGTGGCTCCCGATTGCCCAAGGACCCCTGGCACAAAAAGGAAAGTGCTGAAACCCGCCGAGCAACATGGGGAAAAAAACAACAAACAAAAAACACGGGGGGCCGCAGCACAACTGCTCAGGATCTTTCCCAGCCCCAAGCCAAAAAAGCAAATGTGTGGTGCATGGTCCATATTCCGCGACACTTTCAAACCAAATTGCGTCTATCAGCGTGACATCTTCAAACCTCCGAAGTGGCCCCCAAAAAAGACATTTGAAGCCCTCAAAGGCTCACGAGGGATCAACATGGCTTTGTCTCTAAATGGGGCAACGCTCAAACTGGCTGGTTTGCTGCTGGTTTCCCTCTCAATTCCAATCGCAAAGGGTACCAAGCCTCAAACAACCATTGAAACTGCCCCTGTTGGAGGAACCCCCCCCCAAAACAAAAAGGATCAACCTGCGGCCCCTTCCCAAGCGTCCTTGTCCCATCTGAAGAGCAACTCTTCCGCCCGCTCGCTCCGCCGGCTTTCTGGACGGACGGGCCCCTCGTGTCCACAGCTCTGGCTGTGCTGGCGCAAGATCTCCTGGTGGACGGAAGGCCCAGAGCGCCCCTTTGGAGTACCCTCAAAATGCTGCTGTCCTTCTTCTTTTAAAACCACAAAAAAAGGTACCCTCACAAAACACACACAAACAAGGGAACCCCGAAATCTGTGGGGTGTCATACTAATAGTGGTGATTGAATGCGGTTGGTTTTTTGGCAAGCCCCGGGACTGCCGTTCCAAATCTTGCACACCTGCAACCGACAATATGCTTGAGCCTGGTCAAGTGTAAAGCAAGTGTATTTCATAAAGCTTTATTTATGGCCAAACGTAATACCTTTGCTTAACCTCCACATGCAAGAAAGCTTCAAGTGTAAAACAAATTCGAATCCCAAGGACTACGGATTGCCATTGAATGGCCCTGAGTGAATGGGGATCGCTGCCACTAATTTAAACGTGGGCTTGTCTTTCTGCGTGAGGAAACATAGCAGCTGAAGGCTGAAGGGGTCTCTCAGTAGTAACATGTTTTCTACCATGTTGGTTTCCGTTTGACCCCACAAGAACCCAGCAGCGTCCACAACCCGAGCTGACTGTTGGTTCTACCAAGAGAGTAAAGCAGGTTTCTATAGGCCTACGATACTCCCCGTTCAGGAATATAGCAGAACCGCCTGCGCATCTGGCCACTGGGCGTACTGGGCGTCTACTGCGATAAATTTGCGAACTCCATTCTGCACCATCTGAGAAACCATGGGATTCGGGATGATTCGATTCCCCTGAAAAAAACCATAGCAAACCTCATGGCTTTCCCTTGGCGTCCCAGTGGTGCGAACGGATTGGCAGGCGCAGCCCTCCACACCCTCCGCGCCCTCAGCCAGGGCGGCCTCCAGCTCCTCGGCCTCCGCGAGGGCCAAGCCGAGGCTTTCGGCGCCATGGGCGCTGGCCTTCACTCGCTTGCCGAGCGGATGGCCCCCAAAAAAAGTCCAAACTTTATAATTTACCCAAAAAGTTCATGAACTTCCCAAAAAGTCTACAAAAGTGGATGGCCCAAACTAAAATGGTCTTCCCAAAAAGTTTAAGGTTCATGAACTCAGGAAGTGAGTTCAAAAGTGCGAACAGACCACGGGGACCCCCAAAGCAACTCAGCTCCCATCTTTTGTGGCACCGCGGATGGTGGCGAACATTTCGCTTCACTTCTCGCACCACCTGAAAAACCATGGTGTTGAAAACCCATGGTTTGGTTGGATTTAGCGGGGAAGCAGCATTCCAAGGGCTTCTTAGGTGGTGCAGGATTTTGCCCATCCACAGTAGTATATAGACGCAGCCAGAAAGCCACTGCTGCCTTCTGCTAGCTGACTTAGCAACTTGGTAGCCAGACTTCGCCAAGCTTTCCGTCTTTAGCCCAAGGGGTTCGCTGAATCCCTTTCAATCTGGATCGAGGGGATGGGCCCAACAAAATCACCAAACTTGTTGCTCGCCACGAAATGGTCGAACACCCCCCCCCAAAAAAAAAGAGAGAGCATACAAAGTCCATGGAATTCAGGGCATCAGGCAAAGCTTTTGAAGCAACGGGCGTTGATGCTGCACCTGTGGGTAGCTCTTGACTTTAAGGTCAACACTAGTCAACACCTGTGGAGTTTGCTTCTAACAACTGGGGGTGTCCCGAGTATAGAACAGGTTAAACAACCGGGAAGGGTCACAATTGGACCCTGTACTCAGCGCGCTTTTTCCTTGAGCCACGTGCAGTCGTAATGATGAGACTGCACAAGTGAGACATGCATGCATTGGGGTTTACATGGTTGATAAATACATCACGTTGCAAACTACACCCCCCGTGCCCGAATGTGAAACAGGAGGACAAATGAAAGGGATGAGACAACCAAAGAAACCCGATAGGCATGATGTCATTTTGCAGCACACAAGCACTTGGATTTGAGCGATCGGTAGCTAAGGTCTTCCGCCTCCACTGACCGTCGCTCTCGCGAGGCGTGCTCATGCACTGTACATTGATCCTCGGCCAACATGATTGAGAAGTATAATGGAAATTGAATTTGAAATGTAAGTGGATGTCAGCCGAAGATAGAAAATATTGTCGAAGAGATCGCTCATTCATCGCCAATCCCAATTGCGGGAGCTCTTCCACGGGCGCTGATCATCAGACCACCACGAGTCCCAGGACTGGCCCCAACTTCCCCAGTACGACTGGCTCCATTGACGATCCTGCCATTGGCCACCGGTCTCCCGGAGCTGCGGAATGGGCTTGCGCGCCACACCGACAACTGCAGGGAGCGGGGTGGCCCGCCCAGGGATCTCGATGTTGGGGATCTCCTCTTCGACGAAGCAGAGCAACTCCACCAATACCATTTCGGGGTCTCCCACAGACGAGAAATCCCGGGTCCAGCCCATCACGCTGTAGCGGTTGCTCTTGTCAAGGCTTCCGTAAAGTGCAGCAAATTGTTCTGGTTCCAGAAATCTGCCGCCATGCACAACGTAGACGTCCTTCGGGTCGACCTCCTGCACATCCTCCGTAGGCGGCACCAGCGTTAGCCGTGCGTGATATTTCGGCACAGCCACGCTTCCTTGGATCATCTCCTTGGTTCTCACGAAATTCGGAATGATGCATCGTGCCACTTTCTCGATGAACTCGAGGGCGGACGGCGTCAGGTCTCCCCGCGCGGCAGTGTAGGCGTAAAAGGGGTCATTGATCAGCCTCTCGTAGAGCGTGGTGTACTCCTTGTTGCGAAGAACTGCTTTCTTGGCAATGTCCTTCATGATGCCGAGGCCCCCTCTTGCGCTTCGATCCCCCCGCGCATCCTGTCGCTGCGTCAAGATCTGAGTCTCAACCTGGTCCATGGACAACGGCACGCCCAATGAGTTGGCCATCTCCTGCAACCGGACGACCCTGGCTATCTTCTTGATGTCGGGCATCCGTTCCATCAACTGGCTGCACTGGAAACAGTTGATGGTGCCAACCGGGATGAGAATTTTGCAGCGATTGCACTCGACGAACCGCCAGTTTGTGCATCACTTCGGCGAACCGCCAGTTTGTCGACTTCTTCCTGTTGGGGTCGAGTTCCTGCCACAAACCGCTCCGGCCTCGGGTTTCCCCGGGCTGCTGCGTCACAGCACGGGCCCAATTTCTGTAGAGGCCGTAGCGAGCAGTCTCGAACTCAAGCATGACTTGCTCGTCCTTCGGAAGATTTTCGTCGACGACATCCTTGACTTTCGTGATATTGCCGATGCGATGGGGCCGAGTCAAGTCACGGCACGCCGTTGGAGCCCATTGCTTGTAGTAGGCCTTGCATTCCTTCTCGAGGTTGGCCATGAAGGACTCCAGCACCGGGGTACCGACGACGCCTTTCTGGGTCTCTTCTCGGTACTTCTTGATGCTTTCCTGGTAGTTCCGCCTGACGCTGACGTACATCCGGTTGGACCAGATGAACTTGGCACATTCAGCGTCGTAGGCGTAGATGAGGACCTTGTTCGTGATCCAATCCTCCGTCACCAGGGCTTCCCCGTCTCCGGGTGCGTACAGCCGACACCCCAATTGGATCAACATCTCCACGTCGACGGCGATGTTGATGGGTCGGTCAGCACGCGCACCCCCCGCCTTCCGGCCATGCCTGTCCCAAGGAGGCACCACCGTTAGATAGGCGTGACCACGCGAGGTTTGCCGGTCCCCCATGCCGCCCGGGAAGATGCCCATGTAGATGATGTCAAAGAAGTTCTGCATGTTGCACGTGTGGTAGGCGATCTTGGGCAGCGCCTTTCGGCGTGCGTCCGAGAAATCTTTGCAGAAGCCCGGTCGCACACCCTTCTTTGCGTGCTCGATGGAGTAGTTGACATCCATTGCAATGGGATCTCCAGGAATATTGTCAAAGCCACTGGCCTCAGTCACCCAATCGTTGTGGCCGGTGAACGCGCGAATGCGTAGGGGCATGAAACTGAGCCCGTTCCATTGCTGCCCGGCCGGCGCGTGCTCGATGTAGACCTCGAACCGATTCGATGTGGACGTGGCCTGAAGAAGAGTGTATTGGGAGCAGTTCCAGTCATATCGGCGCTGGATCCATTTGGCAACGGCTGCATAGTCGAAGGAGTTGTCCTTGAGATTGATCTCAGGGATGGATCGCGTCGCGTGTTCATGGGCATGTCCGCGAACCAAATACGACACCTTCTTGCTCAAGAACGTCCTTCTGCCATAGTTCTGGATCTGGGGAATCTTGATTCCTGAGCACTTGATCCACCGCCCTCTTGGGTTCAGCAGCCTGGCCACGGGTCTCCCCGGGCTTTGAAGCAGCTTTGGGAACTGCCTTCGCCTTGGGGATGTTCTCCGGGCCACGGGTCTCTCCTGGCTGAGTCTTGCTAGTCCCAGCCACGGGCGCCTGACCGCTGGATGAGGCAGCAGGCATTGGCATTGCCTTTGATTTCACCTTTGGTGTCGCAGCACTGAGAGCTGCAGTCATTTTGTTATGACTTTTCCGTTTGGAAGTGAGGAACAGCTTGATTTGGCCGTCCTCGCCAACATCGTTCGGATCCACTGCGGCAACCTCAACGGCCTGGCCTTTCGGCCGGCTGACCTTAGGCTGAGAGCCAGGGGGCAGGTCGAAGCTGATCAAGTCCTCCTCATCGGAAGAAGAAGACCAATCAATCACATCGTTGAGGCCGCTGACGGTCGCCGCGTGGATGTCGGGCTGCATCATCTGCAAAATCTTTGCTTCCTCCTTGACGGTGGGTAGAGGGGGTTAGCCTCCTTCTCGGTCTCCAGGAAAATCTCGCGCTTCGGCTCTTGCGCAGCGATTTCATTGATCGCCTCCAGCTCCCTCTCGCGGACCTCGTTGTCGAAAGGGTCCTCAGGGTTCTTTGCAATTGCCGGACCGCCAGTTTCCTGGGGTGTAGCGCCAACGATGGGAATAGATGTGTCGATGTTCATGTATTCCCTTTCGAGGAGGTACCAATTCATAGCCCCTTCGAAGCGGTTGATTTGGCCGATGCAGTACCCGAGCTTCGCGGCGGCCACGTAGAAGTTGATGTAATGTTTTCTGTTGCGCTCGGTGTCATCGGTGTGGATACGGTCTGCCCGGGACGTGTTGGATATGAGTGTCTGGGGGTCGAGGACGGTGATTCCCGCTGAACCGTGCAACAAACGTGCATGACCGTCCATTTGAGTCTTGTAAGATTCGCTCAATCCGTACGTCTCAAAGTCCCGGGGTACGATGAGCACGACCTGAATCACGTCTTCTCGAAAAGCAATATGTCGCAGCCGGTCACGGACAGTCATCACCGCGCGGGCGTTCCTTTCGATGATGTCCATCGCAGCCTTGCGCTTTGCCTCGGAGTCAGTGGCCCAGCCCGCTAGGGCGGCGGGGTTCTCAATGTACCCGTTTCGCCCAATGACATCATTTCCAGACCAGGAGATAACGATGACGTACGGCCGGGGCTCAGGCCTTTCGGCGAGCTTTAGCATTGCCCGCTCAGCGGCATCAAGAGATTCCGCCAGTCCTTTGCCCCATGTCATTTCGGACCAGACCTCGTGCTTGTGCCCAAACAGCGTCCGCTTGTTCTCCTTGATGATGGTGCCAACATCTGTCTTTGCTCCATCTTTGACCAATGCATTGAAGGAGTCGCCGAAAAACAGATAGTTGACCGCGGGTTTCCCCGGGCAGAAGAGGATATCGAAAGCCTCAGCCGGAGCCTCTTTGAGAACACCCGCAGCACCTGTCAACGACGACATAGCATTCTTGGCGAGAGTCAGCGCATCGGTGCGTTCACTCATCTTGGCAAGGTCGACACCGGAGTTCACGTCCTTGACGATGAATGATTGAGTTGCCGCATCACGGAACATGTCTGACCAAGCCTCTCGGTTGGCAACGCGCAGCTCGTCGGGGATGACCTCGGCCTTCACCTTCCCGTCGTGCAGGATGTAGTCCGAGCCGTAGTCAACCCG